CATGGTTTTAAATCTTTTTTTTTTTTGAGACAGAATTGGGTTCTTGTTGCCCAGGCTGGAGTGCAGTGGCACCATCTTGGCTCACTGCAACCTCTGCCTCCCAGGTTCAAGCGTTTCTTCTGCCTCAGCTTTCAGAGTAGCTGGGATTACAGGCATGCGCCACAATGCCTGGCTAATTTTGTATTTTTAGTGTTCTCCATGAATGTCAGGCTGGTCTCCAACTCCTGACCTCAGGTGATTCACTGGCTTCGGCCTCCCAAAGTGTTGGGATTACAGACATGAGCCACTGTACCTTGCCCCCATGGTTTTAAATCTTATACATATATCAGTGACTCCCAAAATTATATCTTAAGCTGTAACCTATCACTTTGGCTGCAGATACAGGACATCTCCAGTTAGATTTCTTGGTGGCACCTGAAAATCAGCATGTTTAAAATAACTCTTTCAGTCTCTTTTCCTTCTGCCATTCCCCATCTTTTTCTTTTTTTTTTTTTTTAAGATAGCATCTCACTCTGTTGCCCTTGCTGGAATGCAATGATAGCTCAATTGCAGCCTTGAACTCCTGGGCTCAGGTGATCTTCCCACCTCAGCTTCCGGAGTATTTAGGACCACAGTTATTACCACGCTCAGCCAATTTTTAAAAGTTGCTTGAGCTGGGTGGAGTGGCTCATGCTTATAATCTTAGTACTTTGGGAGGCCAAGTCAGGAAGATCTCTTTAGCCCGGAGTTTGAGACCAGACTGGACAACTTAGGGAGACCCCATTTCTGCAAAAAATTAAAAAATTAGCTGGGCGTAATAGTGCATGCCCATAGACCCAGCTATTCAAGAGAGGAGGTGGGAGGATCACTTTGAGCCTGGGAGATTGAAGCTGCAGTGAGCTGTGACACTTCAGCCTGGGTGACAGTGAGACCTCTTTTCTAAAAATAACAACAACACACACAACCAAAACATATATTTGTAGAGATAGAGACTTGCTATGTTGTCCAGGCTGGTCTCAAACTCCTGGCCTCCGGTGATCCTTCCACCTCGACCTTCTGAGGTGCTGGGATTATTAGCATGAGCCACCATGCCTGGCCTACATTTCTCAATTCTCTTCTCCTTCTGTTCCAATGCATAAACACTGCCATCCACCAGGTTGCTCAGGTCAGAAACTTAGGAGTCATTCTAGATTCTTTCCTCTCTTCATCACCCATATTCAGTTCCACGTAAAATCCCATGAGTGCTGTTTCCTCAAATCAGTTTTTTAAAATTTGAGTAATGTATAGATACTAAATATTTCTCTGTAATCCCAATGTTAAATTATTTATTTATTTATTTGTTTGTTTGTTTGTTTATTTATTTATTTTTGAGACAGGTTCTCACTCTATTGCCCAGGCTAGAGTGCAAGGGCACGATCACAGCTCACTATAGGCTTGAACTCTTGGGCTCAAGTGATCCTCCCGCCTCAGCCTCCTGAGTAGCTGGGACTACAGCCATGTACCACCATAACTGGCTAATTTTTTATGTTTTGTAGAGATGGGATCTCACTATATTACCCAAGCTTTTCTTGAAGTCTTGAGGTCAAGCAGTGCTCCCACCTTGGCTTCCCAAAGTGCTTGGATTACAGGATTAAGCCACCATGCCTGGCAAAAATTATTTTTACTAAATGTGTGCGTGCAAACACAAAACTAGATGTACATTTCATAGGTTTATAGCTGTTGTACTATTGTAAAACAAACATTAAAAATATCAACAAAAGGCTGGGTGCGGTGGCTCATGCCTGTAATCCCAACACTTCGGGAGGTTGAGGTGGCCAGATCACTTGAGATCAGAAATTCAAGAACAGCCTGGCCAACATGGTGAAATCCTGTCTCTACTAAAAAAGCAAAAATTAGCCAGGCATGATAGTGCATGCCTGTAATCCCAGCTACTAGAGAGGCTGGGTGAGGCAAGAGAATCGCCTGATCCAGGAGGCGGAGGTTGCTGTGAGCTGAGATGACACTGCTGCACTTTAGCCTGGGCAACAGAGCGAGACTCCTTCTCAAAAAAAAAAAAAAAAAAAAAAAAATCAACGAAAGCAATATAATTCAATATAAAAACATTAAATAATATGCTATTTTGTTTGAAACCACAATTGATTTGATTGTCTTAATTTTGAATATGTTAGAACATTACTTGGGTGACTGTCATGATCACTTTTTGTTTTTGAGACAAGTTCTCACTCTGTAGTACAGGGTATAATGCTTAATTATAGCTCACTGAAGTTGAACTCCTGGGCTCAAGAGAGCCTCTTGCCTCAGTCTCATGAGAAGCTAGGTCTATAGGCATGTGTTACCACCCTTGGCTAATTTTTTTAGAAAAGCAACATGATTGTGATTCCTGGTTAATTTTTTAATTTTTAATTTTTATTTTTGTAGCAATGGAGTTTCTCTATGTTGCCCAGGCTGGTCTCCTACTCCTGAGCTCAATTAATTCTCCTGCCTTGGCCTCCCAGTGTGCTGGGATTACAGGCATGGAATTACATGCCTAATCTCTATACCATTTTAATAGGGGGAAAGGACATTTACTGGATAACAGATGACTTGTGGGAAGGATAAATGGTCTCTTAGAATAGATATGATAGTTTTATGATGATGTCTGTTTTGGTGTGGTGTACAAATTTCTTATCTTAAGTGATGAGTCAGATTGACATCTTCCTGGTTGCCTCTGGGAAGTAGATTATGACAATAGAGTTCTTTTGTAAGGCTCTGCTTTAGGCAGATAAGAAATTTTAGGAATTCAAATGCCTTCTGCTTAAAATAATTTTTATACAATAGTAGTGTATTCTGGGCCCCTTCACAATCACTAACCCATTATTTTGATGGGCTACTTAGTAATGACTTCAGAATTTAAAAAATTATCCATTTAGTGAAAGTGTCATTATATATTTATTACTACACTTGTTAACTGCTTGCAAATTGATTCATATAAGGTTTTTACATAGTGGAGAGGGATGTCAGAAAAAAATAATTTTCATGTGATAGTTACTCACAATAGGTCTGTGATGCGGACTACCACAAAACAAGTTCTTTTGTATCTGTCTTCCTGCCAGTTGGCCTTATGACTGACTGCATATTCTTTTTTTTTTCTTTTTTTGAGACAGGAGACAGGGTCTTACTTTGTCACACTGGAGTGCAGTGGTGTGAACACAGCTCCCTGCAGCCTTAAACTCCTGTGTTCAGTGATCCTCCTGCCTTGGCCCCCAAGTAGCTGGGACTTAACAGGCATGCGTCACACAGGTATGCGCCACCATGCCCAGCTATTTCTTATATTTTTTATAGAGATGAGGTCTTACTATTGTGTCCAGGCTGGTCTCAAACTCCTGAGCACAAGCTATGTGCCTGCCTTGGCATCTCAAAGTGTTGGGATTATAGGTGTGAGCCACTGTGCCCAGCATATTTTCATCTTTATTGACCTGTCAAATTTTTGCTTATTTTGTATATTTTGACTATATTTGGCTTTCACTTGGCTGCATCTGGCTTGAAGGCACATCTTTAGCATATCAGCTTGTGATAAGATTGTAAATACAGCCAGGCTTATTTGTTCATGCCTGTAATCCCAGCACTTAAAGTGGCTGTGGCAGGAAGATTACTTGAGTTCAGGAATTTGAGACCAGCCTGGGCAACATAGTGAGCCTCTGTCTCTACAAAAAAAAAAAAAGTTAGCTGGGCGTGGTGGCGCACACCTGTAGTCCCAGCTTCTCTGGAGGCTTGGATGGGAGGATCGCTTGAGCCCAGGAGGTCAGGGCTGCAGTGAGCCATGATTGTACTACTGCACTCCAGCTTGGACAACAGAGTGAGATGCTATCGCAATCAATCAATCAATAAGTAAGTAAATAAATACATAAAATTGTAATACAAATATGAAACTAGGCCAGGAAATCTTGTGGCAACATTAGGCTGTGAGATGGCCTATTTTCATCCAAATGACCCAAAATATGCTTATAAATTAATTTTTTACAAATATTTTTATTTATTCAAACATTTCTATATTCCCTCTGCTACTTTTAGTCCATCTTTTTTTTTTTTTTGTCACCCAGGCTGGAGTGCAGTGGTGTGATCCTCCTGCCTCAGCTCAGCCTCGACCTCCTGGGGTTCAAGTGATTCTCTTGCCTCAGTCCCCCAAGGAGCTAGGACTACAGGCGCACACCACCAAGGCCAGCGACTTTTTGTATTTTTTTTTTTTTTTTAAAGATGGGGCCGGGCGTGGTGGCTCATGCCTGTAATCCCAGCACTTTGAGAGGCCGAGGCGGGTGGATCACAAGGTCAAGAGATCGAGACCATCCTGGTCAACATGGTGAAACCCCGTCTCTACTAAAACTACAAAAAATCAGCTGGGCATGGTGGTGCGTGCCTGTAATCCCAGCTACTCAGGAAGCTGAGGCAGGAGAATTGCCTGAACCCAGGAGGCGGAGGCTGCGGTGAGCCGAGATCGCGCCACTGCACTCCAGCCTGGGTAACAAAAAAAAAAAAAAAGATGGGATTTCACCATGATGGCCAGGCTGGTCTTGAACTCCCGACCTCAGGTGATCCACCCACCTTGGTCTCCCAAAGTGTTAGGATTACAGGCATGAGCCACTGTGCCCGACCGCTTTTTGTATTTTTTATAGACATGGGGCTTTGTCATGTTGCCCAGGCTGGTCTTGAACTCCTGGGCTCAAGCTACCCACTCGGCCTCCCCAAGTGCTGGGATTACAGACATGAGCCACTGAACTGGCCTTCATTGTGGCTTTCATTTGCATTTCTGTTAGGACTAATGATGTTTGTATTTCTTAATGACTAATGATGTTGAATGTTTTGGCATGTGCTTATTAGTTGTCTTCTTTGGAAGTATATTTGAACGTCTGTTTAAGTCCTTTCCTTGTTTTTTAATTGGGTTATGTGTTTTTTTTTGCTGACTATAAGAATGTGTATTTTACTTTATCTTTTAGAGTATTGCTGTATTCGTTTGCAAGACTAATTTTTCCTCCTTTTATTGGAAGGTCCTGTCCAAAACGCATTGCTGTCTTCACAAGAGTCAGTGAGCCAAGGATACGGTTTCCAGCGTCCGGGATCCTACCCTCATCTAATACCAGCAAAGACTTTGAATCCAGTCTCTGGACAGTCTAACCATGGTAGTTCTCAGGGATCTGGTCAGACTTTTAATAGACCACCCGTGGCCTCTAATCCAATGACACCTTTGCTTCAGAGTGATCCTGCTCCCCGATTGCCATTACCTGCTTCTCAGAACCCATCTTCTACACCATTGCCTTCTGGTAGCTTTGTTCCTGGAGCCAATCTGCCACCACCTTTGAATTGGCAATATAACTATCCCTCCACAGGCTCACAAACAAACCATTGTCCTCGTGCATCATCCCAACCAACTGTATCTGGAAATACAAGTCTAACCACAAACCATCAATATGTTTCTTCTGGATATCCTTCACCTCAAAATACCTTCATAAAGTCAGGTAGTATTCTTATAGAAGTGCTTAAAATGTAGAAATGTGAAACTTTTGCTTATTTAGATGTTTTAAATAATACTTGAAACCTTAAAACCACATGGAAAATGTGACTTTAAAAATCATTAGTAGTTTTTGCTGTTGTTGTTTTTCATTTTTGGGTTTCCAGCAAATACTAGAAAGCCTGATAGACAAATTCTAAACAAGCTGTAACACTTATTAGTACTTTTCCTTTTTTTTCTTTTTTCTTTTTCTTTTTTGAGATGGAGTCTTGGTCTGTCACCCAGACTGGAATGCAGTGGTACAATCTCAGCTCACTGCAACCTCCATCTCCCAGGTTCAAGTGATTCTCCTGCCTCAGCCTCCCCTGAGACTACAGGCATGACTGCCATGCTTGGCTAATTTTTGTATTTTTTGTAGAGACAGGTTTTTGTGGGTTTTTTTGATACAGATTTTCGCTCTTGTCGCCCAGGCTGGAGTGCAATGGTGCGATCTCGGCTCATTGCAACCTCCAATTCCCAGGTTCAAGTGATTCTCCTGCCTCAGTCTCCCAAATAGCTGGGATTACAGGTGCCTGCCACCACAGCTGACTAATTTTGTACTTTTTTTTGTAGTGACATGGTTTCAGCATGTTGGCCAGGCTGGTCTTGAACTCCTGACCTCAGGTGATCTGCCCGCCTCAGCCTCTCAAGGTGCTTAGATTATAGGCATGAGCCACCATACTTGGCCAAGACAGGGTTTTACCATGTTGGCCAGGCTGGTCTTGAACTCCTGACCCCAAGAGATCCACCTGCCTTGGCCTCCCAAAGCGCTGGGATTACAGGCATGAGCCACGGTACCTGACCTCACTAGTAAGTTTTTAAATAAATTAATTTTCTAACCTTTGAAGGACTCAAATAACTTAAATTTGTGGATTATTCCTGCTTTGCTTCTTTCTAGTCTTTTTCCTTGAGTCACCCATAATATTTCAGAGACTCAAGTTTGCGTGCAGAACCACCTTACACAGACTGGCTATTACTTTAATGAACTAGGTTCCATCTTACAGTCAAGGCTGAATGAATCCCTGTGGTCTCGCTTTCTTTCTTTCTTTCTTTTTTTTTTTGAGATGGAGTTTCGCTTTTGTTGCTCAGGCCGGAGTGCAATGGCACAATCTCAGCTCACTACAACCTCAGCCTCCTGGGTTCAAGCAGTTCTCCGAGTAGCTGGGATTACAGGTATGCGCTACCATGCCTGGCTAATTTTATTTTTTTTTAGTAGAGACAAGGTTCCTCTATGTTGCCCAGGCTGGTCTCGAACTCCTGAGTTCAAGTGATCCTCCCACCTCGGCATCCCAAAGTGCTGGAATTATGGCATGAGCCACTGTGTATGTCTATTTTAATGCCAGTAAAACGTATTGATTACTGTAGCTTTGTAGTAAACTTTGAATTTGAAAAGTATGACTCCTCTAACTTTGTTTTCAAGATTGTTTTGGCTCTTCTGGTTTCTCTTGCATTTCATAAGAATTTTAGGATCAGTTTGTCAATTTTTGCAACAAGAGATAGTTGGGTCAGGCACAGTGGCTCATGCCTGTAATATCAGCACTTTGGAGGCTGAGATGGGTGGATCACTTGGGCTCAGGAGTTTGAAACTAGCTTGGGTGACAGACATGGCGAAACACTGCCTCTTCAAAAAATTAGCCAGGCATGGTGGCACACAACTGTGGCTCCAGCTACTTGGTAGGCTGAGGTGGGAAGATAGCTTGAGCCCAGGGAGGTCAGGGGTGCAGTGAGCTGAGATTGTGCCACTGCCCTCCAGCCTGGACGAGTTACGCCTTTTCTCAAAAAAAAGATAGCTGGGATTTTCGTAGAGATTGTGTTGAATCAGTTTGGGGAGAAAGCTACATATTATATATTCTTAGACTGACTTTTATCTTTTTATCTTTTAACATCAGTGTTTCCGTTGGATTTTTCCTTTTTTGCTATTAAAATTAGCAAGGTGTTATACTTTTTTTTTTTTTTTTTTTTTGGGTCTTGCTCTGTAGCCCAGGCTGGAGCGCAGTGGCGTGATCTCGGCTCACCACAACCTCTGCCTCCCAGGTTCAAGCAATTCTCCTGCCTCAGGCTGCACCCGGCTAACTTTTTGTATTTTTAGTAGAGACAGGGTTTCACCATATGGGCCAGGCTGGTCTTGAATTCCTGACCTCAGGTAATCCACCAGCCCCAGGCTCCCAAAATGCTAGGATTACAGGTGTGAGCCACCACACCTGGCCATATTTATTAACATTAGTAGTATTTCTTTGAAAATCATTTAAAATTCCATATTGGGATCTGTAGGTTGATGCTGCTCAACAGACATCCTCAAGTTTGTGAATTAGTGAAGGTTTCCAAGTGAAATAGTAATATCAATAGTTATCTTTTACAGTTCATGTATGTTTATGTAGCATATACTCCATCAGGCTTGTAGATTAATGGCTGAAATTTTATTTTTCCAAGACTTTGATCAGACATTGGTTCTGGTGAATGCATTTTGGTCTTGTAAAGATTAAAGCTGCTTCTAGAAACTTAAGTTTCTTTATGGAAATCTTCTGACCTTCAATTGCTAGAGCCAAAACCCTTCACATTACTTTTGTCCTAATTCATTTGATACCATGAGTTAGCATCAGTCACTTGAAATGAATGAATATGGTGGTGCATGCCTATAGTCCCAGCTACTCAAGAGGCTGAAGTGGGGTAATTGCTTGAGCCCAGTTAGTCGAGGCTGCAGTGAGCTATGATTGCCCCACTACACTCTAGCCTAGGTGACAGATTGAGACTCTGTCTCCAAAAAAAAAAATAAATAAAAAGTCTTTAAAAAATGGTATCTATATTATTTTCCAGACTCTACCAAACTTTTATATGCATTATCTGTTTTTGTGTTTTGTTTTTTATTTTTTAGAGATAGGCTGTCTCTCTGTTTCCCAGGCTGGAGTGCAGTGGCACTATCATAGCTCACTGTGACATCAAACTGGGCTCAAACTGTCCTCCAGCCTCACCTCCCTGGGTAGACGTGCCACAGTGCCTAGCTAATCTTGTTCTTTATTTTTTGTAGAGTCAGAGTCTTACCCTGCCGCCCAGGGTAGAGTACAGTGGCATGATCGTAGCTCACTATAACTGCAACATAGCTCACTGTAATTGCTGATCTCAAGCGATCCTGCTGCCTGGAACTCCTAAAGTTCTGGGATTACAGGTGTGAGCCACCTAGCCAGGCCTGCATTATCTTCATAACAATCTCTTACAGATATGAAATGTAAGACTTGAATAATTTGTCCAAAACCACAATAAAATAGTTTGGGAAAACATTTATTTAAAAACTATTTAAGGGCGAGGCATGGTAGCTCACGCCTATAATACTAGTACTTTGGGAAGCTGAGGTAGGAGTTACCCACTTGAGGCCAGGAGTACAAGACTAGCCTGAGCAAAATAGCAAGACCCCATCTCTATTTTTTTAAAATAATTTTATTTAAAAATAAATAAATAATACAAGCTAAGAGTAGGTGTAGCTTCTCTTAAAAAGGTACATTATTAATAATCTGAAATGTCTTTAGCTGTAACAGAAACCCTGTTTCAGGTGGTGAACCTTGTCTCCAGTACAGATGTGGTGAGAGAGACATATATAAGTGCTGAGGCTGGGCATGGTGGCTCACACCTGTAATCCTAGCACTTTGGGAGACTGAGGCAGGTGGATCAACTGAGGTCAGGAGTTCGAGACCAGCCTGGCCAGCATGGTGAAAACCCTGTCTCTACTAGATATACAAAAATTAGGCAGGCGTGGTGGCACATTCCTGCAATCCTAGCTACTCAGGAGGCTAAGGCAGGAGAATTGCTTGAACTCGGGAGGCGGAGGTTGCTGTGAGCTGAGATCGTGTCACTGCACTCCAGCCTGGGCAAACAGAAAGACTCTGTCTCCAAAAAAAAAAAAAAAAAAAAAAGGTGCTGAAACTTATGAAAGAAGGAGAAATAAAAACATATAAACTGGCCGGATGCGGTGGCTCACGCCTGTAATCCCAGCTCTTTGGGAGGCCGAGGTGGGCGGATTACAAGGTCAGGAGTTTGAGACCAGTCTGGTAAACATGATGAAACTACGTCTTTACCAAAAATACAAAAATTAGCCCGGCATGGTAGCAGACACCTATAATCCCAGCTACTCAGGAGGCTAACGAAGAAGAATCGCTTGCACCTCCTTCTTTAGTGGAGTTTGCAATGAGCCAAGATTGCGCCACTGCACTCCAGCCTAGGAGACAGAGCAACACTAAAAAAAAAAAAAAATATATATATATATATATATATATATATATATATGCACACACATGCTAGTAAAATGTACTTAAAAAAGAGCCCTCTTTTTTCTCATTTGAACCTTCAAAGAACCTTCAAACTCCTCATTTTTTGTTTCTGTTTGTCCAACTCACAACTGATAGTTGGTATCTGATAGTCTGATATCAAAGCTGTATCTAGTTTATACTAAGTTTTTAGTTCATATATTAAAATTTCCTGAATTTTTTAAATAGGCTACCTTTTAGCATCATTTAGGGGCTGAGAGGGCAGACTCTGAAACTCTAATTATTAGTGCCTTAAATAAGAATTATTCAACCTTGAAAAATAATGTTCATTTTATGAAACATATGATAATCTCTTCAAAAATATTCTTCTAAAAGCTGTGAAAATCTCTATAAGCTTACTTTTATTCTGTTAAACATTAGGTTGTAGGTTGTTACATCTTTGTGGTCAGATATATCTTACGTTCTTGTTCGTGCTGAGTTGGTAATGTACCTTGCCCCTTTGTTTCTTTGACTTGTCTGTATTGCCCTAGATATATTTGAGCACTTTTTTGATAAGGGAGTTACATGGCAATAATCTTTGTCTTCAGTTTTGTCAACAAGGCACTGATTAATTTTGTTGGGTGTAAGGTTCAGTAATAGGCAATTTTTCTTTTTTTTTTTCTTTTTTTGTTTTCTTGAGATAGAGTCTTGCTCTGTTGCCCAGGCTGGAGTGCCATTTTGAAAAATTTCAAATCTGGGTACATTTATTCCTTTAGTTTTGTAAAATATAAGATTAGCTGTGTTATAAGTAAAATTTATTACCTATTTAACTTATAAACTCAGATACTAAAAAAAAGTCTTGGAATGAAAAATCAGCATACATTTATCAATGTTATTTTATCTACTTTGTAGAGTTTATTCTACTGTGGCAAATGAGAAGGTAGAAGCAATGTAGTTAATTTGAAAGAACAGGTGGTTGTGTGTTTTGAAACTTTGATACCACATAGAATAATTTCCCTAAGGATAACTGATCATGTTTTTACACTTGTTTTTGAACTCATTGTCCAAATAGAAAAATGATGAAGTTAGGGGAGTGAGATACTGGTAGATAGAAGGACAAATACCATGTCATTCTTTTTTTTTTTTTTCTTGAGACGGAGTTTCACTCATGTTACCCAGGCTGGAGTGCAATGGCGCGATCGCGGCTCACTGCAACCTCCGCCTCCTGGGTTCAGGCAATTCTCCTGCCTCAGCCTCCCGAGTAGCTGGGATTACAGGCACGCGCCACCATGCCCAGCTAATTTTTTGTATTTTTAGTAGAGAGGGGGTTTCACCATGTTGACCAGGATGGTCTCGATCTCTTGACCTTGTGATCCACCCGCCTTGGCCTCCCAAAGTGCTGGGATTACAGGCGTGAGCCACCGCGCCCAGCCATGTCATTCTTTTTTATTTTAATCTAATTTAATTTATTATTATTTTTTATTTATTTGTTTTGCTCACCTTCAACTGTCTTGATTGAGTTATATATTTTATTTTATTTTTTCAGTAGAGACGGGGTTTCTCCATGTTGGTCAGGCTGGTCTTGAACTCTTGACCTCAAGTGATCCTCCCGCCTTGGCCTCCCAAGGTGCTGGGATTACAGGTATGAGCCACTGCACCTGGCCTACCATGTCATTCTTAGTTTATTTTCTTTTTCTTCTTTTTTTCTATTAAAACTATTTTTTTGTTTGTCTGTTTTTGTTTTAAGAGACGGGTTTTCACCATCTTGGTCGGGTTGGTCTTGAACTGCTGACCGTGTGATCCACCCGCCTCAGCCCCCCAAAGTGCTGGGATTACATGCCCAGCCCTTAGTTTATTTTGATGAATATTTTATTTTACACTTGATCTTAGCCAAAAGGCCGAGAAGCGATGAATATTTTATTTTATAATGTTTATTTATGAACTTTGGATCAATTCTGATATTTTTTTTTTTTTTTTTAAGACGGGGTTTCACCATATTGGTCAGGCTGGTCTCAAACTCCTGACCCCTGCCCGCCTCAGCCTTCCAAAGTGCTGGGATTACAGGCGTGAGCCACCGTGCCCGGTGCAATTCTGATTTTTAAGCTTAGAGAATGTTGTTAATATAATATTACAGAATTATATAATGTTAATATTAGGCTGTTATAGAAGGTAAACTAGGTTTCACTATTATTAGGTAAATGCTGAAGAGTGTACAAATTTATAATTTCATTTTTAACATGTTATACCCTAATAAAACAAAGGAAAATAAAATTTGGAAAATTTAGAATAACTTGTATTTTTATTGACTTATTTCTGTGGAGATTTGGCGTCTCTATGTTGCCCAGTCTGGTCTTGAATTCGTTGCTTCCTGCCTTGGTCTCCCAAAGTCCTGGAGTTATAGACATGAACCACTGTGCCTAGCCCCTATTTTTTTTTTTTTTTTGAGACAGAATCTTGCTCTGTCACCCAGGCTGGAGTGCAATGGCAGGATCTTGGCTCACTGCAACCTCCACCTCCCGGGTTCAAGTGATTCTCCTGCCTCAGTTTCCCAAGTAGCTAGGATTACAGGTGCCCACACCACGCCTGGCTAATTTTTTGTATGTTTAGTAGAGACAGGGTTTCACCATGTTGGTCAGGCTGGTTTCGAACTCTTGACTACAGGTAATCTACTCTACCTGGCCCGCCCTCTATTTTTAGACTCACTCTAAACTTAATTGATGTTAATGGAACAGTCTATGTTAGTAAACAAAATTAACAAAATATTACAAAATCAATAACATTAAAATAGTTATGTTAATTTGTACTAGAATGTATCTCACATGGCCTGTTGATCACTTTTTTTTTTTTTTTTAATAGAGATGAGGTGTCACCATGTTGGCCAGGCTGGTCTCGAACTCCTGACCTCAGGTGATCCACCCATCTCGGCCTCCCAAAGTGCTGGGATTACAGGCATGAGCCACTGTGCCTGGCCATGATCAGTTAATAAAAAATTAATAAACAGGGCTGGCTAAGTACAGTGGCTTGTGCCTGTAATCCCACCACTTTGGGAGGGCAAGACAGGAGGATCACTGAAGCCCTGGAATTTACGAACAGCTTGGGCAACAAAATGAGACCCCCTCTTCTCTATGTAATTAAAATTAAAAAATAATAATAATAATAGCTTTGTGCAGTGGCAGTATCATAGCCAATGAGGTTTATCTGAGGCATGATTATTGCTAACTGAAAACTTTTCCCAATACCCCGTCATGACGACTTGAAATATAGTTGGCATTGGCAATGTTTGACAGTCTCTATGGAGACTGAATTAAAAAATAAATAAATAAAAATTAAAAAAACAAACAGAGCAATGTATCTAAAAGTGTTTTCATCCAAATTTTCTTTTTACTCTGCTCTAATAATTGACAGGTAAGAGGCCTGGTAGGGGAGAGCTAGAAATTTCTAAAATATGGTCCGGGCAAAGTGGCTTATGCCTGTAATCCAGCACTTTGGGAGGCCAAGGCAGGAGGATCACCTGAGGTCAGGAGTTCAAGACCAGCCTGGCCAACATGGTGAAACCCCAACTCTACTAAGTATACAAAAAATTAGCCGGGCATGGTGTCGCATGTGTGTAACTGCAGCTACTCAGGAGGCTGAAGCAGGAGAATCCCTTGAACCAGGGAGGTAGAGGTTGCAGTGAGCTGAGGTTTTGCTACTCCACTCCAGCCTGGGCAACAAAAAAAAAAAAAAAAAAAAAAGGAAAGAAATGTGTAAAATATGCATATAGATTGAAACATTGTAAATTTAGGAAATTAACATGTTTCTGGTAACATTTTGGTGATTATAATTTAAATGTAAGGTTGGAAATTACTCAGCTTTGGTAAAAGGCTGGTTTTGGTAATTGTCTTAAGTTCTTAAGTGACATGTGAAAAACCAATGTTTCCATAGGTTCATCTGTACCTCCCTTAGTGAATCCACCTCTGCCTACAATTTTTCAACCAGGAGATCCTCATGGGCCCCCTCCAGCTGGAGGCCCACCCCCAATAAGCGTCCTCACGCCCCAGAAATCATCATATAGACATGTACCCCAGCCCTCATTTAATTCGTCCGTCAATCAAGAAGGTAAGTTAAGTGAATCAAGAAACAAAGTCAAGTTCTCAAAGTTTTTTATTTATTTTTTTTTTGAGACATAGTCTCACTCTGTAGCCCAAGCTAGAGTGCAGTGGTACAATCTCAGCTCACTGCAGCTTTTGCCTCTGGGGTTCAAGCGATTCTCAAGCTTCAGCCTCCCATGTAGCTGGGACTGGAGGCATGTGCCCGACACCTAGTTATTTATTTATTTATTTATTTTTTAAGATGGGGTGTCACCATGTTGGTCAGGCTGGTCTTGAACTCCTGACCTCAGGCGATCACCTGCCGTGGCCTCCAAAGTGCTTGGATTACAGGTGAGAGCCACCACGCCCGGTATTTTTGGTATTTTTAGTAGAGATGGGGTTTCACCATGTTGCCCTGGGTGGTCTTGAACTCCTAAGCTCAGGCGATTCTGCCTTGACCTCTCAAAGTGCTGGGATTACAGGTGTGAGCTGTCGCACCCGGCCAAGTCCTCAAGTTTTGACTTAGGGTAGAAAGATGAATATTACCAAATTCTGTGCATTAGAATCACATTTTTTCCAGAAAATCTAGTTTTGGTTAGGGATGGGCTACAGGAATTTACAGTTTAAAGTTCCTCAGGAATTCCATTGCCCACCACTGGGCTGTGACTAACATTTGGGAAAAAAGCTCTTAGGTTTTTGTTACTTTTTTTGTTGCTATGCAGATGTTTTAAAAATCATGGCTGTAAAGTCAGGTGGCTTTTGGGAGTGCATGCAAAAGGAGAATTACTACTTTTCTTGACATGATGTTAGAATGTTAGAAATATCTTTTTAAAATAGTGACCTTTTTCATTGAAAGTGTCTTTTGATTACCACTAATATTGTAAATAGTAACACACGGTTATGAAACTAAATAAATGTCATTTATACAAGCAGTACAAAAATACAACTTACGAAGTTTCATTTCCCCTCCCCGTAATCATTGTCAGTTCATGCAGTTTTATATAAGTAAAATATTTTAAAGCATTATTTTGGGATATAATGGAAATAAGAGTGTTCACTTAAATATTTTATAAAGTAAGAAATTTGGTTTTAGGCTGGGTGCGGTGGCTCACACCTGTAATCCCAGCACTTTGGGAGGCTAAGGCGGGTGGATCGCTTGAGGTCAGGACTTCAAGATCAGCCTGGCCAACATGGTGAAACCCCATCTCTACTAAAAATACAAAAATTACCTGGGCGTGGTGGCATGTGCCTGTAATCCCAGCTACTTGGGAGACGGAGGCAGGAGAATCGCTTGAACCCAAGAGGCGGAGGTTGCAGTGAGCTAAGATCCCACCACTGCACTCCAGCCTGGGTGACAAAATAAGACTCAGTGTCAAAAAAAAAAAAAAAAAAAAAAAAGTAACAGAATGATGAGGCTCTCTCATTGGTTGCCTCGGTATTACTTTGAAGATCAAGTTACCATAAATACTTATATAAAAAAATTTTTTTTAAAGAGATAGAGTTCACTCTGTCACCCAGGCTGGAGTGCAGTGGTGCGATCATAGCTCACTACAGCCTCAGCCTCCCGGTCTCACACAATCTTCCTGCCTGAGCTTCTGGAGTAGCAGGAACTACAGGCGTGTATCACCTCACCCGGCTAATGTTTTGTTTTTATTTTATTTATTTTTGAGACAGAGTCTCACTCTGTTGCCCAGGTGAGAGTGTGGTAGAAGGATCTTAGCTCACTGCAGCTTCTGCCTCCTGGGCTCAAGTGATTCTTGTGCCTCAGTCTTCCTCGTAGCTTAGATTACAGGCATGCGCCACCACACCTGGCTAATTTTTATATTTTCAGTAGAGACAGAGTTTTCCCATGTTGCCCAGGCTGGTGTGAATTCCTGAGCTCAAGTGATCTGCCCACTTTGGACTGTGAAAGTGCTGGAATTACAGGTGTGAGCTTCCACACCTGGCTTACATTTTTTAACAACTAAAAAGAATTCACAATATGCCCAGTGATTTTGTTTCTGCTAAAAGTTTTACTGTGATTTTGTTATTAATTCATGGCTAAAGTCAAGTTGGTCTTGCAAACTGGAAAGAAGTTACTGACTTTATTTTTTTATTAATTGTTTGTTTATTTTGAAATGGAGTCTCGTTCCCATCGAGCACGCTGGAGTGCAGTGGCGCAATCTTGGCGCCACCTCCCAGGTTCAAGCGATTTTCCTTCCTGAGCCTCCTGAGTAGCTGGGAATACGGGTGGGGGGTTTCACCATGTTGGCCAGATTGGTCTCGAACTCCTGACCTCAGGTGATCCACCCGCCTTGGCCTTCCAAAGTGTTAGGGTTACTGGTGTGAGCCACTACGCCCAGCCAGTTACTGACTTTAAACGGTTAAATTTATCTGCTTCATGTTAATAGCTATTGAAGTTAGCAATTTTGTACTTAAGTGCTAGAGGTTAATGCTATTTGCTGAATTTGTTTCTTCTCTTCCTGAATTAGAGCTCATAAATAACAGAGGTAACTGGAAATGAATATTTAGTTCTCATAAGCAGATGCCCCTGGCATTTGTCTTTAATCCTATATCATTTGGGGAGAAGAGATGTTAAGATTTTAATTCTATTTTAGTGGCTGTTCTCTAGACTTAAAGCAGTTCTAATTCATTTATATCACCTTCAAATTAATTTTGGATTCCACTGTTTGTTAAATATTTTGAAACTAAGGTCTTTGTTCCTCATAATTTTACTTTCTTTTTTTGTTTGTTTGCTTTTTTGAGATGGAGTTTCTCTCTGTCATCTAGGCTGGAGTGCAGTGGCACGATCTCAGCTCACAGCAACCTCCCCCTCCTGGGTTCAAGCAGTTCTCCTCCCTTTGCCTCTCAAGTAGCTGAGATTATAGGCGCTTGCCACCACACCTGGCTAATTTTTTTTATATTTTTACTAGAGACGGGATTTCTAGTAGAGACAAGTTTGAGACCATGTTGGCCAGGCGTAGTCTCAAACTCCTGACCTCGTGATCTGCCTGCCTCAGCCCCCCAAAGTGCTAGGATTACAGGAGTGAGCCACTGTGCCCGGCCTCTTTTTCTTTAAGCAGTTTTGATTTTGATAATTTTTTTTCATTGTGTACTGCTCCTTAGAGGGTTTTTTGTTGTTGTTTTGTGTGTGTGTGTGTGTGTGTGTGTGTGTGTGTGTGTGTGTGTGTTTTAAGATGGGGTTTCACCATGATGGCCAGGCTGGTCTTGAACTCCTGACCTCAGGTGATCCACCCACCTTGGCCTCCCAAAGTGCTAGGATTACAGGTGTGAGCCACCGCACCCAGCATTTGTGTGTGTGTGGTTTTTTTTTTTTTTTTTTTTTTTTTTTTTTTTTTGAGACAGAGTCTCGCTTTGTCGCCCAGGCTGGAGTGCGGATGTGTGATCTCAGCTCATTACAGCCTCCACTTCCTGGGTTCAAGCAATTCTCCTGCCTCAGCTTCCCAAGTAGTTGGGATTGCAGGCACCCACCACCACGCCCAGCTAATTTTTGTATTTTTAGTTGAGATGGGGTTCAACCTTGTTGGCCAGGTTGGTTTCACTCCTGACCTCAAGTGATCCACAGCCTCAGCCTCCCAAAGTGCTGGGATTATAGGCATGAGCCACTGCACCTAGCCCCTTAGAGGTTTCTAATGCAGCTCTCACAATTGCTGAAATATTTCATATGGTATGTAATTTTATAGATTTCATAAAGAACCACCCATTGCTGAAAGTTATTTTGCTGGAGTGGGTTATGAAAAAGCCTTGTTATTTGGGCTTTTGGTTTAGGTACAATATAAGATGAAAAGACTCCTCCCAAGGACTCATGTTTCTTTTCCCTGAAGTTGCAGCTAAATTATTTGAAACTATTGTATATGTAAAAACTGGGATTTTTGATGTTTTTAATAGATTGTTGTTTTAAACTATTTGTTGTTTAGAAAATTATCTAAAATTTTGGATATTAGTTAAAATCATACAGAGATTGTAATAATCATTCTAATTAAAATCTTGTTAATTAACTTCATTCTTAGGTATTACATCAAATACCAATAACGGATCTATGGTGGTCCACAGTAGCTACGATGAGATTGAAGGAGGTGGCTTCTTGGGTGAGATGCTATGAAAGTTTTTTTTTAATCTCTTTTTTCTGATTATAGAAATAATATGTGGTCATTGCAGGAATGTATGCTCATTATAGGAAACTTTATAATTATGTAGCCATACATACTATTTATTTATTTATTGGACACAGAGTCTCACACTATTGCTCAGGCTGTGGAGTGCAGTGGTGTAATTACGGCTCACAGCAGCCTTAGTCTTCTGGGCTCAAGCAGTCCTCCCACCTCAGCCTCCTGAGAAGCTAGAGCTATAGGCACTGCCACCATGCCCAGCTTTTTTGTTTTTGTTTTTGACTTTTGAGACTGAGTCTCGCTCTGTTGCTTAGGCTGGAGTGCAGTGGCGAGATCTTGGTTCACTGCAACCTCTGCCTCCCGGGTTCAAGTGATTCTCCCATTTCACTCTCACAATTAGCTGGGATTAGAGGCACCCACCACCACATCCTGCTAATTTTTATATTTTTAGTAGAGATGGGATTTCGCCATGTTGGCCAGGCTGTTCTCAAACTTTTGACTGAAAGTGATCTACCTGCCTTGGCCTCCCAAAGTGCTGGGATTGTACGCATGAGCCACTGTGCCCGGCCCCTGGCTATTTTTTGTACGTTTTGTAGAGGCAGGGTTTCACCATGTTACCCAGGCTGGTCTTGAATTCCTGGGCTCAAGCGATCTTCCCGTTTTGCCCTTTCAAAGTGCTGGGATAATAAGCATGTGCCACAACATCTGGCTCTACTATTTAACATTTTTTTATTTCTGTGCATTTAGATTTTCTGTTAGTTCTTCTTCCTGTCAGAATTGGGATCGTGGACTTTATTATTACTATGTTTTGACTGTAGAACACATTTAGGATTTTTTTTTTTTTTTTTTTTTTTAGGGACAAGGTCTCTGTCACCCGGGCTCAAGTACAGTAGCACTGTTATAGCTCACTGCAGCCTCAAATAACTGGGCTCAGGCGATCTTCCACCACACCCTTCTGGAGTAGCAGGGACTACAGGCATATGCTACCATGCCAGGCTAGTTTTTTTATTTTTGTAGAAATGGGAGGGGTTCTCGCGATATTGCCTAGGCTGGTCTCGAACCCTTGGCCTGAAGGGATCCCTCCTGCCTTGGTTCTCCAATTTGCTGGGATTACAGGTATGAACCACCTCACCCAGCCCTTTTAGGATGTTTTGTTTTGGTTTTGTTTTGAAAGGGAGTCTCGCTCTGTCATCAGGCTGGAGTGCAGTGGTGTGATCTCTGCTCACTGCAACCTCCCCCTCCTGGGTTCAAGCGATTGTCCTGCCTCAGCCTCCCAAGTAGCTGGGACTACAGGCACGTGCCACCACCCCAGCTAATTTTTTAGTAGAGACAGGGTTTCACTGTGGTAACCAGGATAGTCTCAATCTCCTAACCTCGTGATCCACCCGCCTCGGCCTCCCAAAGGGCTGGGATTACAGGTGTGAGCCCAGCTGGATGTTTTTATTAAAGTTGTTTTAAATTAAAATTTTAGTCTAAATACAAAATTTAATGCATTATATGAAAGTAAATTAACTGTTCTTTTGTTTGCTTGTTTGTTTGTTTGAGACAGAGTTTCCCTCTGTCGCCCAAGCTGGAGTGCAGTGGGCACAATCTCAGCTCACTGCAACCTCTGCCTCGCGGATTCAGGCAATTCTCCCACCCCACCCTCCTGAGTAGCTGGGACTACAGGCGCGTGCCACCACATTTGGCTAATTTTTTTATTTTTTGGTAGTGATGGATGGGATTTCACCATGTTAGCCAGGCTGGTCTCCAAGTCCTAACCTCAGGTGATCCACCCGCCTCAACCTCCCAAAGTGCTGGGATTACAGGCATGAGCCACCACACCCAGCTGATATGAAAGTAAATTAACTGTGCGAACTAGTTTTTATGTGTCTACTACTATAGTATAAAATATTAATTAGGATAAATCTATTAACTAGATTTTTGGCCAGGCACAGTGGCTCATGCCTGTAATACCAGCACTTTGGGAAGCCAAGGCAGGTGGATCACCTGAGGTCAGGAGTTTGAGACCAGTCTGGCCAACATAGTGAAACCGTGTCTCAAATAAACATACAAAAATTAGCCAGATGTGGTGGCACACGCCTGTAGTCCTAGCTACTCGGGAAGTTGAAGTAGGAGAATCACCTGAACCCAGGAGGTGGGGGTTGCACTGAGCTGAGATTGTGCCACTGCACTCCAGCCTGGGTGACAGAGTGAGACTCTGCCTTAAAAAATAAAATAAAAAGGTCGGGTGCAGTGGTTCACGTCTGTAATCCAAGCACTTTGGAGGCCAAGGCGGGCGGATCACCTGAGGTCAGGAGTTCAAGACCAGCCTGACCAACATGGTGAAACCCTGTCTTTAAAAAATAAAATAAAATAAATAGATTTTAATCATTGCTATTACTTTGTTACTGGTGTGTGTCTTATTTTACAAAGTTGATAAATGAAAGTATTAAATTATCCAAAGAATTTTGGAGTTATAGTATCTGTAATTTATTAGATTTATGTGTTGATTTAAAACATTCTGGGCCAGGCGTGGTGGCTTACGCCTGTAATCCCAGCCTGGACAACATGGTGAAGTCCCATCGCTACAAAAAATACGAAAACATTAGCCAGGCATGGAGGCATATATCACTTGTTTCACCTACTTGGGAGGCTGATACAGGAGTATCACTTGAGCCCAGGAAGTTAAGGCTGTGGTGAGGCGTGATTGCCCCACTGTACTGCAGCCTGGGTGTTATTGAAACTCTTTCTCCAAAAAAATGTTTTTTTAATAAATTAAGTATTCTGGAGTATAAAATAGAACTTAAAAGTTACCTTGTTTCTAGCAACACCACAGCTTACTAACAAGAATCCCAAAATGAGCCGAAGTGTTGGATATTCATATCCCTCCTTACTGCCTGGTTATCAGAACATACCACCTGGTGCAACTGGAGTGCCACCCTCTTTGAATTACTCAAGTGGGCCACAAGCCTTTACTCAGGTAAACTTTTTGAGATTTTCTTTAACCTATTTCTCCATTTGGTTTAAACTGTATACACATGAAGAAAGTTTTAGGAAGAGATCTTATACATTTTTATAACCAATTAGAGTAATAATAGATATATCATAAAGCCTTTGTCTTTACACATTTTTCCAGAACCAAAAGATTGGCCAAGAGATCTAGATTACACTTTTGTTATTTACAGAGAAATTAACCACTTTTCTACACACTTAATAAAAGTTACTTACTTTGAAATTATGTATCTGTAGACTCCCTTAGGTGCTAATCATTTAACCACAAGCATGAGTGGATTAAGTCTACATCCAGAGGGTCTAAGAGTTGTCAATCTTCTTCAAGAAAGAAACATGCTTCCATCAACACCTTTGCAGCCTCCAGTTCCAAATTTGCATGAAGACATCCAGAAACTCAACTGTAATCCAGAGTAAGGCTTCAGATGTGATGTTATTCATGTCCTAAAAATTTTCTTGCTTTTTGGGGCAGCACATCAGTTGTTATGAATAAGCTGCACAAATTATTAATTTATGAAAGAAGTTCTGGATACACAAGATAGAACTCTTTTACTTGTTTACTTAATAGACATTTGAAAAGTCCTATGTCAAGAAATAGGGATGTAACTAACCCCTGAACTGATTTTGTTCTTATCAGCTCTAATGAGATTATGAAATTCATTACCATTATGGTGGTTACATTCTTTCTTCAAAGTACAGGGATTTTATTCTACATAATCCTTTATTTGCTGTCATTTAAAATTGATTTCATAACAAACATAATCTTTTTTTCTTCCTAAAAACTTACCATAAGCTTAAATATGTGTGATCAAGAATTTCTGATAAATTTTGTACCTTTAAATTGTATTTAGAATCTTCAGTAAAACTGAACCTTTTTTTTCTTTTGAGACAGAGTTTCACTCTTGTCGCCCAGGATAGAGTGCAGTGGTGCAATCTTGGCTCACTGCAACCTCTGCTTCCTGGGTTCAAGTGATTCTCCTGCCTCAGCCTCCCAAGTAGCTGGGACTACAGGCAGGCGCCACCACGCCTGGCTAATTTTATATTTTTAGTAGAGATGGGGTTTCTCCATATTAGTCAGGCGGGTCTCGAACTTCCAGCCTCAGGCGATCTGCCTACCTCAGCCTCCCAAAGTGCTGGGATTACAGGCTTGAGCCACTGCGCCTGTCCTGAACTTTTAAATAATAAACTTTGCAATTTGGGCTGTCACCCAAATTTAATTTAATTCCAGTGTCACTTACATAACAAAAAATAAGTTTAGACTATTTTGCACACAAGCCAAGACGAGACTGTGTTTTAGTTATATAATGTAGGATAACCATCTACTCTATTTCTGCATAGGACTTAGACTTCAATATTTAAATAGGATAAAATTTCAGAGAATCTATTGATATTTCATCTGTAATCCGATCCAGTATTAAAATGTTTACCTTTTAAATCTTTGAAGTTATTTTGTTCAAAAGTAATCATAGCCGCAACTTATACATACATTTTACTTTGATATAGGTTATTTCGATGTACACTGACTAGCATTCCTCAGACTCAGGCCTTACTGAATAAAGCCAAACTTCCTTTGGGGCTGCTGCTTCATCCTTTCAAAGACTTAGTGGTATGTTTCCTTTCTTTTCTTTTCTGTTATTTTTTTTTTGAGATGGAGTCTCCCTCTGTTGCCCAGGCTGGAGTGCAGTGGTGCGATCTCGGCTCACTGCAACCTCCGCCCCACCCCTGAGTTCAAGCGATTTCCTGCCTGAGCCTCCCAAGTAGCTGGGATTACAGAGTTCTGCCACTGGGCCCAGCTAATATTTAGCAGAGACGGGGTTTCACCATCTTGGCCAGGCTGGTCTTGAACTTCTGACCTTGTTATCTTTCCACCTTGACCTCTCAAAGTGCTGGGATTACAGGCGTAAGCCACCATGCCCAGCTTCTTTTCTTTCTTTTTTTTTTTAATGTGAGATGGGGTCTCTTTCTGTTTCCCAAGCTGGAGTGCAATTGTGAGATGTTAGCTCACTGCAACCTCTGCCTCCCAGGTTCAGGCAATTCACTTGCCTGAGCTTCCTGAGTAGCTGACATTACAGGCACCTGCCACCACACCCAGCTAATTTTTGTATTTTTTGTAGAGATGGTATTTCACCACGTTGGAAGACTGGTCTCGAACTGACTCAGGTGATCGGCCTACCTCCCAAAGTGCTGGGATTTATAGGCATGAGCCACTGCACCTAGCTTCTTTAGTGAAAGTAAATGTCTTTTGTGCAGAATTATCTTCGTGGTGAAAATTTTCTGCAACAATGCAAGAATCACACATAGAGTTTGTTTAGTCTATCTTTAGGAAGTTGATGATTGACAGATTTCTTTTAATTCAACCAAAAGTTTTATTACTAAACACTTTCAAAAACTAGGTAAAGGAAATATATTGCTGGAAAATTCAAAAAGTACTGAATAGAATAGAGGTACTGAGAGAAACTAAATAAATGAATCATACTATTTTAATAGGCTGTGAATTATTTACTGATTAAAGTACTTTACCCTGGTCTTCCCGTTCTGTCATTGTTGGAGTAAAATTTGTTATTTTATAAAGTTGCACTGGGCCAGGCACAGTGGCTCACACCTATAATCCCAGCACTTTGGGAGGCTGAGGCAGGTGGATCACCTGAGGTCGAGAATTTGAGACCAACCTGACCAACATGAAGAAACCCCGTCTCTACTAAAAATACAAAAATTGGTTGGATGTGGTGGCACATGCCTGTAATCCCAGCTACTTGGGAGGCTGAGGCAGGAGAATTGCTTGAACCTGGGAGGCAGAGGTTGTGGTGAGCCAGGATCCTGCCATTGCACTCCAGCCTGGGCAACAAGAGCCAGACTCTGCCTCAAAAAAAAAAAAAAAAAAGTTGCTTTAAGCCAGACGTGGTGGCTCATGGCCTGTAATCCCAGCACTTTGGGAGAGCAAAGTGAGAGAATTACTTCAGTCCAGGAGTTCAAGACAAGCCAATCCTGGCTACTTGGGAGGTTGAAGTGGGAGGATCACTTGAGCCTGGGAGGTTGAGGCTGCAGTGAGACATGATTGTAACACTGCAGTCCAGCCTGGGTGACAGAGTGGGACCCTGTATCAAAAAAGAAGTTTCAAAAGAAAAAAAAGCTGATCTACCTTTGTCCTAAAGCTCCGTGGCCATGTATTCTTGAGGATTGCTGACTTTCCCAAAACACACCTTTTTTAATAGGATTTTTTTTTATTGGTGGTGATAGGATTTATTGCTTGTACTGTGTTTTTTTTTGTTTTTGTTTTTGTTTTTTTTTAAGAAGCAAAGTCTTAACTATGTTGCTGAGGATTATCTATTTTTTAAGAGATCCTTCTCTTAAAAAATAGATAAAGGCCAGGTGCTGTGGCTCACACCTGTAATCCCAGCACTTTGGGAGGCTGAGGCGGGCAGATCACCTGAGGTCAGGAATTCAAGATCAGCCTGGCCAACATGGTGAAGCTCATCTCCATCAGAAATAGAAAAGTTAGCCGAGCATGGTGACGCACACCTATAATCCTAGCAACTGGGGAAGCTCAGGCAAGAATATCGCTTGAACCTAGGAGGCAGAGGTTGCAGTGAGCCAAGATCCTGCACTGCACTCCAGCTGCGCAACAGAGTGAGACTAAAAAAAAGATGAATAAATGAAATCTTCTTTTAAAGATGAGATGGTATGTCATTGTTGTCCAAGGCACTGGCTCTCAGTCAAGTTGATCAGTATAAGCAAAAACATTTCTTTCACTTGTCTCAGGGTTTCTGATAAATCAAAACAAATCCCCCCAAATCTGATAGTCTTACAAAGACCCTTCCCATGTATTTACTGCTATTTATTTATTTATTTATTTATTTTATTAGAGACCGGGTATCTCGTTGTCACCCAGGTTAGAGTGCAGTTCCATGATCATAGCTCACTGTAGCCTTGAACTCTTGGGCTCAAGCAGTCTTCCTGCCTCAGCCTCCAGACAGAGTAAGTGGAACTGTAGGCACTGACCACTATACCCAGTTAAGACTTTAGAACTTTTTTTTTTTTTTTTTTTAATAGAGACGGGGTTTCACCATGTTGGCCAGGATGGTCTCTATCTCCTGACCTCGTGATCCACCCACCTCAGCATCCCAAAGTGCTGGGATTACAGGCCCGAGCCACTGTGCCCGGCCCGCCTTTAGAACCTTTAATATGTGAGGTAAACTTTTTTTTTTAAATATGGAACACTTCATGAATTTTTTGCATGTCATCCTTGCGCTGGAGCCATGCTAATCTTCCCTGTATCATTCCAATTTTAGTATATATGTTGCTAAAGTGAGCACTGGATAAACTTTAGCAGTGTAATTCCAAAGTTTAATTGATTATTTAAATTAACCTCACTTTATTACAGTTGAAAACTAAGTAGGCCTCTTAATGTAACATCAACAAACCGTAATAATTTCATTGGTCATATATCTTAGAGTTTTTTGTTTTTTGTTTTTTTTTTTTTTTTTTTTTTTTTTTTCACCATCCATGCCAAAGTACATTGTAAATTTACCAATTTGGTTTTATTTTTAAACTTTATTTATTTATTTTTGAGATGGAGTTTCATTCTTGTTGCCCAGGCTAGAGCGTGGTGGCACGATCTTGGCTCGCTGCAACCTCCGTCTCCTGGGTTCAAGCAATTCTCCTGCCTCAGCCTCTCAAGTAGCTGGGATTACAGGTGCCGCCATCACATCTGGTGAATTTTTTGTGTTTTTAGTAGAGGCCGGGTTTCACTATGTTGGCCAGGCTGGTCTGGAACTCCTGACCTCAGGCGATCCATCCGCCTCAGCTTCCCAAAGTGCTGGGATTACATGTGTGAGCCACCATGCTTGGCCTATTTATTTATTTAAAAACTTTTCTTTCTTTTTTTTGGTAGGGATGGGATTTTGCTCTGTTGCTTAGATTGGTCTCGAGGTCCCATCCTCAAGTGATCCCCCTGCTTTGGCCTTTCAAAGTACTGGGATTTTTTTTTTTTTTTAAAGACGGGGTTTCACCATGTTGGTCAGGCTGGTCTTGAACTCCCAGCCTCAGGTGATCCACCTGCCTTGGCCTCCAAAGTGCTTGGATTACAGGTGTGAGCCACCACGCCTGGCCTGGGATTTTTTTTTTGAGATGGAGTTTCTCTCTTCTTGCTCTTATTGCCTATGCAGGAGTGCAATGGCGTGATCTTGGCTTACCACAACTTCTGCCTCTCAGGCAGTTCTCCAGCCTCAGCCTCCTGGGTAGCTGGGATTACAGGCATGTGCCACCATGCCTGGTTAATTTTGTATTTTTAGTAGAGACACGGTTTTTCCATGTTGGTCAGGCTAGTCTCAAACTCCCAACCTCAGGCGATCTGCTCACCTTGGCCTCCCAAGTTCTGGGATGACAAGTGTGAACCACCGTGCCCAGCCTGGGAGATTTTTATTTTTAAAATAGAGACAGGGTCTTACTTTCTTGCCCGGGTTGGTCTCAGACTCCCGACCTCAGGTGATCCACTCGCCTTGGCCTCTTAAAATGCTAGGATTTTAGATGTAGGTGTTGGCCACTGTGCCTGGCCTACTATTTTGGTTTTGCAATGTGAATGTTTAATGAGAAAATACATTCTTGTTAAATTTTTATTTTATTTTATTTTTTTGAGACTGGGTCTTGCTCTGTTGCCCATGCTAGAGTGCAGGGGCTCAATCATGGCTCACTGCAGCCTTGACCTTCCAGGCTCAAGTGATCCTCCCGCCTCAACCCAAGTCACCACACTAGGCTAATTTTTTAAATCTTTTGAGAGGGTCAGGTTTCACTGTGTTGCCCAGGCTGGGCTCAAACTCCTGGCTTCAAGCCATCCTTCTGCCTTGGCCTCCCAAAGTGCAGGAATTATGTGTGAGCCACTGTGCCCAGCCGATACTTTTTTTTTAAAGGCAAATTTTAATAAGAATGATCCTGGAGCAAAACAGTAGGGTTTAAAATGAATACATTTCAGCTACATGATTTTTGTGTGTGGCAGTTTAGGTACATCATGTACTCTAGGTTTTCCTGAAAATGATGATATCCCAACAGTTATTTAGACAGGATGGATTAATGGTTACATTTTCAACATGATGATTCTTCCTTTACAAAGATAATTCTGTTTTTTTCAGCAGTTGCCTGTGGTTACCTCCAGTACCATTGTGAGATGCCGTTCATGCAGGACGTACATCAATCCTTTTGTCAGCTTTCTTGATCAAAGGAGATGGAAGTGTAACTTATGTTATCGAGTAAATGATGGTATGGCATGCTTTTTTGAAACGTTTAAACATTTCTACTTTCCTTTTTTTTTTTTTTTTTTTTTTTTTGAGATGGAGTCTCATTCTGTAGCCCAGGCTGGAGTGCAGTGGCGTGATCTCAGCTAGGCTCACTACAACCTCTGCCTCCTGGGTCCTGGTTCAAGCAATTCTTCTACCGCAGTTCTCCTACCACAGCCTCCCAAGCAGCTGGGATTACAGCACAAGCCACCATGCCCAGCTAATTTTTGTATTTTTCAGTAGAGACGGGGTTTTACCATGTTGGCCAATCTGGTTTTGAACTGATCTCATGATCCACCAGCCTCGTGAGCCACCGCACCCGGCCAAACATTTCTACTTTCATTGTAGGGAAATCAGATAATACAAAGCACAGTTAAAAAAAAACCCTTTTATTTACCTGTAATCAATCCTTCCACTCAGAGAAAACTACTGTTAACTTTTTTCTATGCATTTATATTTATAAATAAATTTAATTTTTTTTTTTTTTTTTGAGACAGAGTTTCGCTCTTGTTGCCCAGGCTGGAGTGCAATGGCGCGATCTCAGCTCACCGCAACATCTGCCTCCTGGGTTCAGGCAATTCTCCTGCCTCAGCCTCCTGAGTAGCTGGGATTACAGGCATGCGCCACCATGCCCAGCTGATTTTTTGTATTTTTAGTAGTAGAGACGGGGTTTCACTATGTTGACCAGGATGGTCTCGATCTCTTGACCTCGTGATCCACCCGCCTCGGCCTCCCAAAGTGCTGGGATTACAGGCGTGAGCCACTGCGCCCGGCATTTAATTATTTTTTAAGCAAAAAATAATAATAGTATTACATGGATATCCCTTTTTTACATTGTATTGGGCATATAATGAATGGTATATTTCATGGTATTACTTAAGCCAGTAATTTAAGAAACATTTTTATTTAGAAATTGTCCCATGCCTTTTCTCTAGGGTGAAAAGAAGTAAGTTCACAGTAGCTGCCCAATTCATTCACTGCTGAATGAAGGGAGGTGGGCCGTTCTAGAAGGTTAGTTAAAATGTGGTTTTCTCAGTGATTGAGGAGGAGGAGGTTTCTCTTAGTAACTATGTCACAGTTTTTCTGTTGGGATTAGAGAAGGAAATGGGTATGCCAGTATCCACAGTGTCTGTTTGAAAGATATGGGAAATAGAGGAGTATGAAAGAGTTTTGTTTTTGTTTTGAGATGGAGAGTCTCACTCTGTCACCAAAGCTGGAGTGCAGTGGCACGATCTTGGCTTACTACAGCCTCTGCTTCCCAGGTTCAAGCCATTCTCCTGCCTTAGCTTCCCGAGTAGCTGAGATTACAGGTGCCTGCCACCACGCCTGGCTAATTTTTATATTTTTAGTAAAGGTGGAATTTCGCCATGTTGGCCAGGCTGGTGTAGAACTCCTGACCTCTAGTGATCCTCCTGACTCAGCCTCCCAAAGTGCTGGGATTACAGGCATGAGCTACTTTACCCAGCCAAGAGGTTTTTTTTTTTGTTTGTTTGTTTTTTAAGAAACAGGGTCTTGCTATATTGCCCAGGCTAGAGTGCAGTGGCTATTCATAGGTGTGGTCCCACTACTTATCAGCCAAGAGTTTTTTAAGAGTTTAATTGTTTGTGTGTGTTTTCTTTTGAGTATAGAAAAGTAAGAATAGGTTAAGAACTTACTTTTGCACTATAATTCATAAAATGTAGTATTTAGTATACCTTTAAAATCTTTATGGTTTTGTGCTTTAATATACAAAATGAAATTGTAATAAAAGTTGAAGCCTCAGGCCGGGCGCGGTGGCTCAAGCCTGTAATCCCAGCACCTTGGGACGCTGAGGCGGGTGGATCACGAGGTCAAGAGATCGAGACCATCCTGGTCAACATGGTGAAACCCCGTCTCTACTAAAAATACAAAAAATTAGCTGGGCATGGTGGCACGTGCCTGTAATCCCAGCTACTCAGGAGGCTGAGGCAGGAGAATTGCCTGAACCCGGGAGGCGGAGGTTGCGGTGAGCCGAGATCGTGCCATTGCACTCCAGCCTGGGTAACAAGAGCGAAAGTCCGCCTCAAAAAAAAAAAAAAAAAAAAGTTGAAGCCTCTTTCATATGCAAACCAGGCTCTTTCATGAACTATATCTTAACCTTTAGAGTGCATAGGGATTTGTATTTCTGAACAATTAATAGGAAGACAGATACAATGATAATTAATTTAGAAAATATTCTTCAGCCACTAATGTATTATAAGTGGTAGGTAACTGATGTTCCATAAAAGTCTCATTAATTAATAAAACTCACTAAACCTTATGACCTTGACCTCTGAAATTGTCTTAACCATAGCTTCTAATGCCAGCCAGAGTCTATACATTTCATATGTCAAATGTTAATATTCTTGTATAATTGTGAAATTTAAGAAAATAGGCCAGGCGCAGTGGCTCACATCTGTAATCCCAGCCCTTTGGGAGGCCGAGCCAGAGATCAGGAGTTTGAGACCAGCCTGACCAACATGAAGAAACCCCGTCTCTATTAAAAATTAGCCAGCATGGTGGTGTATGCCTTAATCCTAGCTACTTGGGAGGCTGAGGCAGGAGAATCACTTGAAGCCGGGAGACGGAGGTTGCAGTGAGCCAAGATTGCACCACTGCGCTCTAGCCTGGGCAACAGAGTGAAACTCTTGTCTCAAAAAAAAGAAAATAATTGGCATTTAATGAGTTTTTAATCACCTTTTCAAGCAAGAAAGTGGCCAAATGCAAGATATATTATATTAATCCTTTCAGTTTTTTCAATATGTGTATTGTTATAGTTCCTGAAGAGTTCTTGTACAACCCTTTGACCAGAGTTTATGGAGAACCTCACAGAAGACCTGAAGTTCAAAATGCTACTATTGAGTTTATGGCTCCTTCAGAATACATGGTAAACTTTAATTTTTTAATACAGCATACCCAGTTTTTATTACCAGGTTTTAAGTAAAACAATATGACATCCTTTAACAAAATTTTATTTTTTAATTTTTTTTTTGAGACACAGTCTCACTCCCATTGCCCATGCTGAGTGCAGTGGCATGATCACGGCTTGCTGCAGCCTCAACCTCCCACAATCAAGTGATCTCCCACCTCAGCCTCCTGAGTAGCTGGGGCTATAGGCATGTACTACCACACCTGGCTTATTTTTAGTAGAGACAGGGTTTTGCCATGTTGCCCAGACTGGTCTCGAACTCCCGGGCTTGAGTGATCTGCCCATCTTGGCCTCCCAAAGTGCTGGGATTATAAGCGTGAACCACTGTGCCCAGCAAAAATTTTATGTTTTTAAATGTATAAAAGTATAATATTTGTTTACTAGTAATTAGTATGTAAGGGTATATTTGAAAGGTAAAGGTTTATGTAAAGTCCCATTTAAATGTTTTCTGTGACATCCAGAAATTTCCAAAATAATACTGGGCTCATAATTACTTTTTTTTTAAAAAATAACAAGAGTCTAGCTCTGTCTCCCAGTCTGGAGTGTAGTGGTGCGATCTTGGCTCACTGCACCTCCACCTCCCAGGTTCAAGTGATTTTCTTGCCTCAGCCTCCCAAGTAGCTGGGATTACAGGCACGCACCACCACACCCGACTAATTTTTGTATTTTTAGTAAAGATGGGGTTTCAACATGTTGGTCAGGCTAGTCTCGAACTCCTGACCTTGTGATCTGCCTGCCTCAGCCAGCCAGAGTGCTTGGATTACAGGCAGGAGCTACAGCACCTAGCCAAAATACACTAAAATAAGGCTAGCCGTTGTGGTCACACCACAGTTGCTTTGGTGACAGAGCAAGATCTCCATCTCATGTTGGGAGGCTGAGGCAGGCGGATCACGAGGTCAGGATCATACCTATAATCCCAGCTATTCAGGAGGCTGAGGCAGGAGAATCGTTTGACCTGGTAGCTGGAGTTGCAGCGAGCTGAGATTGCACCACTGCGCTCCAGCCTTGGCAACAGAGCAAGACTCTGTCTCAAAAAAAAAAAAAAAAAAAGAAAAGAAAAGAAAACATTTTGTTGTCCTTAAGTGGACTTAACTGATTGGTAATAGCCATCTGCAGAGTAACTGTTTTGTTTTGTTTTGTTTTGTTTTGTTTTGTTTTTTAAGATGGGGTTTCACCATGATGGCCAGGCTGGTCTTGAACTCCTGACCTCAGGTGATCCACCCACCTTGGCCTCCCAAAGTGCTAGGATTACAGGCATGAGCCACCGCGTCTGACCGAGTACCTGTTTTTTAATTGGATTCAAACCAAAAAAAAAAAAAATAACAGAAGCACCTATTCTTTTGAATTTATCTGTCTAGTTTCCCTTTATCGCCCATGTTTTGCAAAAATTGCTTCCTTTAAATTTAGAAACTATTGCAGAAGGTTTTTGCTCCTTTCTGGCTTATCTCTTGACAGGCAGATTATGTGAATTTGGTAAGTGATACATGCAAAAGTATATAAAAATACAGTTGACTCTGTATCTATGGGTTCTGCATCCATGGATTCAACTACCCATGGATCGAAAATGTTCAGAAAAACACAGTAAACAATATTATAGGATAGATGCGGTGGCTCATACCTATAATCCCAGCACTTTGGGAAGCCAAGGGAGGAGGATTGCTTGAAGCCAACAGTTTGAGACCAGCCTGGGCAACATAGTGAGACCCCATCTCTATAAAAATTTTAGGAATGGTGGTGTGTGCTTACAGTCCCAGGTACTTGGGAGACTGAGGTGGAAGAATCGTTTGAGCCCAGGAGCTCAAGGCTGCAGTGAGCTATGATTGCATCACTGTACTCCAGCCTGGGTGACAAAGTGAGACGTTTTCTTTAAAAATATATATACATAAACTTTAATATACAGTATAGCAACTATTTATATAGCATTTATGTTGTATTAGGTATTATTTTCAAAACCTAGAGATGATTTAAAGTATACAGAATGATGTGTGTAGGTTATATGCAAATAATATACCATGGCATGTAAGGAATTGAGCATCCTTAGATTTGGTATTTGAGGTGGGAGATCATGAACTAATCTCTTGCAGATACCAAGGGAAGACTGTATACTACGTACCCAGTTGTGATTGTAGCTAATTGATGCTTTTTATTGAACTGAAAACAAATCTTTGGATTTGGAAATTTAAAATACAGTCTTGGCCAGACACGGTGGCTCACGCCTGTAATCCCAGCACTTTGGGAGGCTGAAGCGGGTGGATCACCTGAGGTCAGGAGTTCAAGACTAGCCTGGCCAACATGGTGAAACCCCATCACTACTAAAAATACAAAAATTAGCCAGGCATGATGGTGTGCACCTGTAATCCCAGTTACTCAGGAAGCTGAGGCAGGAGAATCCTGTCCCAGAAGGTGGAGATTGCAGTGAGCTGAGATCGTGCTACTGCACTCCAGCCTGGGGGACAAGATGAGACTCTGTCTTTAAAAAAAAAAAAAAAAAATCTGAGTCATGACACCAAGAAAAAAAATGATCTTACATTTTTATGGGATTTGGCTATAATTTGATGGTTAAATAACCAGATGAAGCTAACTTGTAACTTTCAGAGCTGTAATTTTTCAAAATTGTGAAATCCAACACACATATAGAAAAATCAATAAAACGTAAATATTCAGGTTACTGAATCATTATAAACTAAACACTTTTGTTAGTATTGCCTAAGCCAAGAAATTCAACCTTGCTAATAATACCAGAAGCCCCCCACCGCCTTTTTTTTTTTTTTTTGAGACAGAGTCTCGATTTGTCACCCAGGTTGGAGTGCAGTGGCATGATCACGGATCACCGTAACCTCTGCCTCCCTGGTTCAAGCGATTCTCCTGCCTCAGCCTCCCAAGCAGCTGGAACTACAGGCACCCACCACCACACCCGGCTACTTTTTGTATTTTTAGTAGAGACGAGGTTTTGTCATGTTGGTCAGGCTGATCTCAAACTTCTGACCTCAGGTGAGCCGCCCACCTCTGCCTCCCAAATTGCTGGGATTATAGGCTTGAGCCACCACACCCGGCCAGAAACCATTCTGATCACACCTCTTCCCGCTCTTGTCCTAGAGAAAACACTATTCTGAATTATGGCAATCACAGCTCATTTTTCTTATATGTATATATCTATAAACAATATAGTGTAGCTTTGCCTTTTTATTATAATCTATACTCAATTTGTAAATGATGCTTTTTAAATTGTTTTGCTGTATGTGTACCCAGCAAATAAGTTTAAACTTAATCCTGTTAAATGTACTTAACAAGATCTTTTTCTCTTCAGTTACGACCACCTCAACCTCCAGTGTATCTCTTTGTATTTGATGTGTCTCACAATGCAGTCGAAACTGGATACTTGAATTCAGTTTGCCAGAGTTTGTTAGACAATCTGGATTTGTAAGTTTCTCAATTCAACTTAAATTTGAAACTAGTAATATTTTCTAAATGAATAAGTAGTTTTTGAAATCCAAAAAAAAGAAAGCTGTATAATTATTTTCTAAAACTTCACCTAAATCAGTTGTCAATTTAGGCCTTATTTCCTCTTAGAAACGTTATTTTTAAACCTATAGTTGGTAGGAAGAATAATATAATGAACCTCCAGGCACCTGTCATCACCCAGCTTCATCATCATCAGCATTCTGCTGTTCTTGCTCCATGTAATCCTTCCCCTTCACACACATACCTTTTCTTACCTTGAGTATTTTAAAGCAAATTTCAGCCAGCATACTGTTTTACCTATACATATTTCAAGAGTAACTTTTATACCTAACCGTAATACTAAAGCATCAAGAAAATTAGCAGTAATTCCATATATGATCTAATACCCAGCTTATTTTTTGTTCTTAGTTGTCTCAAAATTGTCTTTTTACTGTCAGTTTGTTGGAGTAACAATTTAAACAGTATACATACATTGCATTTGGTTATCAAGTGTCTTATGTCTCTTAAAATATCTATTTCCAGTGGTGCTTAGATACCTAGTGTAACCCATCAAAGCAAATGTAAACTTTCTGTGTCATGAAGTATAGTGCTTGTGTGTGGTATGGAAGAATATAGAAGAACAAATCTCATCACAAGTGGAATAACTCTCTCACTTTGGTGAAAAGCTCATTCTTGTTCCTGCCAGCATTTGTATTTTTATTTTATTTTATTTATTTATTTATTTATTTATTTTTGGGATGGAGTTTCGCTCTTGTTACCCAGGCTGGAGTGCAATGGCGCGATCTCGGCTCACCGCAACCTCCGCCTCCTGGGTTCAGGCAATTCTCCTGCCTCAGCCTACTGAGTAGCTGGGATTACAGGCATGCGCCACCATGCCCAGCTAATTTTTTGTATTTTTAGTAGAGACGGGGTTTCACCGTGTTGACCAGGATGGTCTCGATCTCTTGACCTCGTGATCCACCCGCCTCGGCCCCCCAAAGTGCTGGGATTACAGGCTTGAGCCACCGCGCCCGGCCCAGCATTTGTATCTTTAATGCTGTAGATGATGAATGGGGATTGTGAATTGATGAGATTGTCACTGACTCACCCATGCATGAACAAGAGTTCATGCATGAACAATTTGTTTTTCCCCTTATATAGCTATAGTTCCACATATTTGTAGTTCTTTAAAATAGATGTTTTGCTCTTCTTTGTTCTTAAATATTAGAGCTTGTGTATCATAATATTTTGAAGCATGGTTTATAACTTAAAATCATCTAGAAAATTTCATACTTTTAAGTATTTTTAGCGTACTATTTCCTAAGTGATTATATGTAACTTTATAGCTATACTTGGTTTTGGATTTCTGTATTACTGCCGTGGTTTTTTTATTGTTTGGCTTATGTGTAGTGTTTTCCCTTAGAGTCACATATGTTTTCATGGTAAACATTGGGTGGTTTAAACAATTGTTTGTGTTGGGCCGATTTCCATAATATTGATTGAGATATTTGCATGTAATTCTTAGGACACATTTTATGTGTATTTGTATATAGTTAAAACTTGGTAAAATATTCTTATGAATTTGTTTTTAGGCTTCCTGGCAACACTAGAACAAAAATTGGCTTCATAACGTTTGACAGTACAATCCATTTCTACAGTCTTCAAGAAGGTCTCTCTCAACCTCAGATGCTAATAGTTTCAGATATCGAAGGTATAGATTTATAACTATTTTCATAATTTCCAGTTTTAGAAATATTTCTTGATTACTTGACAAATTGAATGTGTATTATTTGTACTATATCAGGGAAAATCTTGAGTATAAAATCATGATTGTTGAAGTTGTAAGAATCTTTCAGTTCAATCTCTTATTTCTTAGAAGAGGAAACGGGGGTCATGGAGACAACATGAATTCTGTACAAGGCGACAAACACAAGTTAATGTTAGAACTCAGATCAGATTTAGGCCTTTTTTCCCCGTCTTTCCATTCATTCAAATTATTTGAGGATAGCCATAGAGCAAAGAAATAGAATTGAGAGCTCAGAATAAAGCCTAGCACATATAGGCAATTGATTTTTTTTTTTTTTTTTTTTTTTTGTTTTGAGATGGAGGGTTACTCTGTCACTGAGGCTGGAGTGGAGTGGTGCAGTCTCAGCTCACTGCAGCCTCTGCCTTCTGGGTTCAGGCAATACTCCTGCCTCAGCCTCCTGAGTACTTGGGATGAGAGGCATGCACCACCACACCCCGCTAATTTTTATATTTTTAGTAGAGATGAGGTTTCATCATGTTGGCCAGGCTGGTCTCGAACTCCTGACCTCAAGTAATTTGCCTCTCTCAGCCCCCCAAAGTGCTGGTATTACAGGCATGAGCCAACAGGCCCAGCCTGTCAATTGATTTTTGACAAAGGTGCCTAGACCAATCAGTGGGAGAAGAGACAGTTTTTCAGTGGGAGAAGAGACAGTTTTCTGAACAAATAGTTGTGGCAATACTGCCTATGTAAAAGAATGAGGTTGGACCTTTACCACCTTATACCATGTAAAGAAAATTAACTTGACATGGACTAAAGACCTATACTTAAGAGCTGTAAGTAGAAAACAGGGGCAAATATTTATGCCCCTGGTTGTGGAAACATCCCTGGTACATTACTGGTCATAATATAAAGTGGTATAGCTGCTGTGGAAAATTCCTTAGCAGTTCTTCAAAGTTTAAGGTGAATTACCACATAATGTAGCAATTCCACTGTTCAATATATAATCCAAAAAATTGAAAGAACGGACTCAAGGAGATCCTTCTACATTATTGTTTATAGCAATAGCAATTATTTACAATAGCTAGAAGGTGGAAACACCCCAAGTAGCCATCAACAGATGAATAAACAAAATGTGGTATAAACGCATAATGGGATATCATTCAGCCTTTATAAAACAATGAAATTCTCAGTTAGTCAAGGTGGCTCATGTCTGTAATTGCAGCACTTTTGGAGGCCGAGGCAGGCGGATACTGAGGTCAAGAGACAGAGACCATCCTGGCTAACACAAGACCAGCCTGGCCAACATGGTGAGGGGTTTCACCACATTGTCCGGGATGGTCTCGATCTCTTGACTTCAGTATCTGCCTGCCTTGGCCTCCCAAACTGCTGGGATTACAGGCATGAGCCACTGTGCCCAGCCTACAGTCCCATTCTTAAAGGCACTGGTGTGGGCCTTCTTTATGAGAAAGCATCTGCTTTTTGAATGAGCTACTGGTGAGCTATATTGCTTCCTTATAAAGACAGCATTCTTGTGCATCATGTTAGTCAAAAAAATTTTCTTAATGCCAAGAGTGTATCTTTGGCTGGCTTCCAGGGTCAGCCGTTAAAAAAAAAAAAAAAAAGAAGTCAAAGCAGGATTGTAAAGTGTTACCTTTAGCCTAAGAAGCAGAGCACTTATGTAAACCCTTACTCAGTGAGTATAGATCAATATTTTCTTTCTTTTTTTTTTTTTTTTGGAGACAGGGTCTCAACCTCCTGCCTAGCCTGGGAGTACAGTCGTGCAATCTTGGCTCACTGCAGCCTTAACCTCCTAGGCTCAAGCAATCCTTCCACGTAGCTGGGACTACAGGCGTGTACCACCATGCCTGGTTCATTTTCGTATTTTTTGTAGAGACAGGGTTTTACCGTGCTGCCCAGGCTGGTCTGAAACTCCTGAGTCAAGTCATCCACCTACCTAGGCCTCTGAAAGTGCTGGGATTACAGGTGTGTACCACTGCACCCGGCCCAGATAAATATTTTGTAACTGGGAGTCTATACCTTTTACAAGGTAGCAGACAAGAAGCAGAACATTTTGCAGTAGATACCTGAATCAGTGTGGTTTTTTGGTGGTTCTTTGGACATAGGTAAACCGTGTTGTAATAGTGGATGAGGTGGCTTATCTTTAACGAAGGGGGTGGTTAATCACATTCGTGTTATATATTTGGAACACCTTTAATGATTATATTTTGTTTAAAACAAATGTGTATTTTTTCTTTCAGATGTTTTTATACCTATGCCAGAGAACTTATTAGTAAACTTAAATGAAAGTAAAGAGGTAAGGCACATTTTTCTACCTGACATGTTTAATTAAAATATTGAAGGAGTATGTTTTTGAAATGAACTTGAAGTAAAATTTTGGTTCTTTCCGTGACATTTCTAAAATGTGTAGCATTTTAAATTTGCTCATAGTTAAAATTAATAAGATGAACAGCTCTTGAGTTCAATCCTGAGCTGATCATTTTTAAGTCTAATGAAGCAAGTTATTTGTAATAGGGTAGAAAATAAGCATATTCCATATAGGAGGAACACCTGAAGGAAATCTGTCTTGCCAGCCATTTGGGAAGTTGGGAGGGTTGCTGAGATAAAGCTTCTGGTCACTACGTAGAAGCACATTAGGTAGGCTGCTTTCAGTGCCCTTTGCTTTTCTGATTCACAGAGTGTCATTGGGGTCAGTTCAGAAGAAACTCTTATTACCTGCCTGGAAATTGCCATGAGATAATACAGTGAGAGGTGAACAGAATGTGTCTGAAGGGGGGATGTTGTCTACCCTGTACATGCATATATGCCGTAGGGGTAACATTTTAACTAGCAAGTCTGTGGTCTCTGCTGTTGGCAATGGTGACTGTGCCATAGTGCGAAGTACTTTTTTCCCCATTAACTCTTATTTGTACAACCTAACCTGTAAAGGTAGTTGTTTTTCTTTTGTAGTGATATTACTAGTTGGCAAAGTTACTGGATATCATAGATTTACAACAGGGAAGAGCTAAGCTCACTTTGGAACTTAAAAGAATAAAGTATGTAGAGGTGATGGAGAAGGCCATATTTAATGGTATTAAAATATATAAATTCTCTGAACTGTGATGTTTCTTTCGGATACATTTTGGACTTATAGTCTTGCTGGACTACTGCATGTGCAAGAACTGTAAGGCACCAACTTTGATTTGTCTTGCTTGCCAATTTATAATGTTGACTTAAAATGGCTTTCTTGTCATTTGACCAACTTCATTGTTTAGTGTCTGTAGATTCTCTGATCATCATCAATGTCTTGTCTATTGTATTAGATACTGACTAATGTGAAAAAAAAATTTAATTGTGACACTCTTGAGTTTTCTTGCTTTATTTTACAAGCTTGTACAAGATTTACTGAAAACATTGCCACAAATGTTTACCAAGACTCTGGAGACCCAGAGTGCCTTGGGTCCTGCACTTCAAGCTGCCTTTAAGCTGATGTCTCCAACTGGTGGTCGAATGTCTGTTTTTCAAACACAACTCCCAACTCTTGGAGTGGGAGCCCTGAAACCACGAGAGGAGCCTAACCACAGGTCATCTGCTAAGGTTAGAGAGCCGTGAAATGTCTGAGAAGATTTATGCTGCTGTGCCATCCCTGTGACCACAGAACCTGTTTCTTTAAATTTTTTTCTCAATTGTTGGGAAGATGGACTATAAGAAAATTGGTAAAGGGTTTAACTTTTATGTAGACATTTTTATTTTATTACATTTTTTTCTGCCTGATTCACCGTTCTTTAATCTGTAGTATCTTTAGCAGACCAGTAGCAATTCATCCTGCCTTTAGTGAGACAGTCTGGAAGACTAACAGAGTATGCTTGATAGGGACAAAGAGAACCTGACTGACCAGTTAAGAATAGTCTTATGGCCAGGTGTGGTGGTTCACTCCTGTAATCCCAGCGCTTTGGGAGGCCGAGGTGGGTGGATCATGAGGTCAGGAGTTCGAGACCAGCCTGGCCAACATGGTGAAACCCCGGCTCTACTAAAAATAAAAATTAGCTGGGCATGGTGGCAGGTACCTATAATGCCAGCTACTTGGGAGGCTGAGACAGGAGAATCGCTTGAACCCAGGTGGCGGAGATTACAGTGAGCCGAGATCACACTGTTGCACTTCAGTCTGGGCAACAAGCGGGAAACTCCCATCTCACACACACACACACACACAAAAGAATAGTCTTATTTGGTACGTTGATGATGAAGGTGCTTATGTGCACCTTGTGTGTATAAACTTAAAAGTTTTTGAGGCCAGACCCGGTGACTTAACACCTGTAATACCAGCACTTTGGGAGACCAAGGCAGGCAGATCACAAGGTCAGGAGATCGAGACCATCCTGGCCAACATGGTGAAAACCTGTCTCTACTAAAATACAAAATCTTAACCGGGTATGGTGGTGTGTGCCTGTAGTCTCAGATACTTGGGAGGCTGAGGCAGGGGAATTGCTTGAACTCTGGAGGAAGAGATTGCAGTGAGCTGAGATTGCGCTACTGTACTCCAGCCTGAAAACAGAGTGAGACGCTGTCTCTAAAAGTTTTTGAGACCCATTTTTCCCAAAAGATTATGAAAGAGACACCTGTGTACTATACTGGGTATGATATCATTCCTGGAGTCAAACTGCCTATTTGCCAGTTTATTATACATGGGAACTTGGAATATTACTTAATTTCTTTGCCCCTTTGTTTCTTTATACATAAGGTGAAAATAAAGGGTCTGGTGTGGTAGCTTATGCTTATAATTTTTTGGGAGATTGAGGTGGAAGGATTGATTGAGCTCAGGAGTTTTGCGACAAACCTGGGAAATATAGTGAGACCCTGAGCCTACAAAAATACAGTGTGATGCTAAGAGCCTGTAGTCCTAGCTTCTCTGGAAGCTGTGGTGGGAGGATCACTTGAGCCCAGGAGGCAGCAGTGAGTTCATGCCAGTACACTCCAACTTGGGCAACAAGAACAACAAAATGATGGCTGGGTATAGTGGCTCATGCCTGTAAGACCGGCACTTTGGGAGGCCGAGGCGGGCAGATGACCTGAAGTCTGTAGTTCCAGGCCAACCTGGCCCACAAGATGAAACCCCATCTCTATTAAAATTACAAAAATTAGCCAGGCACAGTGGCTCACACCTATAATCTTTGCGAGGCCAAGGCAGGCAGATTACAAGGTCAGGAGTTTGAGACCAGCCTGACCAACATGGTGAAACCCCATCTCTACTAAAAATACAGAAATTAGCTGGGTGTGGTGGCACACACCTGTAATCCCAGCTACTCAGGAGGCTGAGGCAAGAGAATCACTTGAACCCAGGAGGTGGAGGTTGCAGTGAGCCAAGATCACAGCACTGCACTCCAGCCTGGGCAATAGATCGAGACTCCATCTCAAAAAAAAAAAAAAAAAAAAAAAAAAAATTAGCCAGATGTGGTGGTGTGTGCCTGTAGCCCCAGTTACTTGGGAGGCTGAGGCATGAGAATTGCTTGAATCTGGGAGTAGGAGGTTGCAGTGAGCTGAGATCGCATCACTGCACTCCAGCCTGGGTGACAGAGTGAGACTCTGTCTCAAAAAAAAAAAAGAAAGAAAATAATGATAGCACTTTCCTCTTAGGGTATTTGAAAAGACTAAATAAGCGTTACTTATGAATTCTTTAAAACAGTTGCCAGCATACTGAACATTGAGTAGATTTTAGTTACAATAAAATCTTTGCCAATTATGAAATTATTATAGTAGATGTATTTCTTTTTAAAAGTAAAGCAAGAAAACTTACAGAATATTTTTATGTATATTTATATTTTTTTAATAAATAAAAATTTTAAAATTTATATATTTTTTAAATAAATAGAGCCATATTACCCAGGATGGTCTCAAACTCCTGGGCTCAAGCAGTCCACCCACCTCAGCTTCCCAAAGTCCTAGGATTACAGGTGTGAGCCACCATGCCTGGCCAGAACTTACAGAAAATTCCTAAGTAGTACTTGCTTCTTTTTTTTTTTTTTTTTTTTTTTTTTTTGAGACGGAGTTTCGCTGTTGTTGCCCAGGCTGGAGTGCAATGGCACGATCTCGGCTCACCGCAACCTCCGCCTCCCGGGTTCAGGCAATTCTCCTGCCTCAGCCTCCTGAGTAGCTGGGATTACAGGCACGCGCCACCATGCCCAGCTAATTTTTTGTATTTTTAGTAGAGTTGGGGTTTCACCGTGTTGACCAGGATGGTCTCGATCTCTTGACCTCGTGATCCACCCGCCTCGGCCTCCCAAAGTGCTGGGATTACAGGCTTGAGCCACCGCGCCTGGCCAGTACTTGCTTCTTAATGAAAAATCAAATAGTACCACAAAGGAAAGGGACTTTGTAGAATGCCCAGAAATAACTGCAATTGTTGTTAACATCATGATGTATGTAGATGTGTATTTAGATTTTATGACAATGTAATGATTTTTTAAAATGTCTCTTTGTAATTTATTGTAAATAGGATATACACCTGACACCATCCACTGACTTCTATAAGAAATTAGCCTTGGACTGTTCTGGTCAGCAAGTAGCTGTTGACTTATTCCTTCTCAGTGGACAGTATTCTGATTTGGCTTCTCTGGGTAAGTTCTTCCTAATGATTTTTTTCTGTTAAATGAATATCAAAATTGTGCTTATATGATAGTGTTCTGAATACAGGATAAAGTTAAATAATTTTTATGCCTTTGGGAGAGTTAGTCAGTTTAGTCTATTAAAAACCTTATAGTCTTCTAGTCTAAACATTTAATAATAGAGAAATTTCCATACTACTATTTTAAAGGAATGCAGGGTACGATGGCTCATGCCTGTAATCCTAACAATTTGTGAGGCCTATGCAGGAGCATTACTTGAGGCCAGGAGTTTGAGACCAATCTGGTCAACATAGGAAGACCCTATATTACAAACAATTTTTTTTTTTTTAAATAAAAAACTAGCCAGGCATGGTGGCACACACCTGTGGTCCTAGCTATTCGGAAGCCTGAGGTGGGAAGAGTGCTTGAGCTGGGAGGTCAAGGCTGCAGTGAGCTGTGGTATCACTACTACACTCCAGCTTGGGTGACAGAATGAGACTCTGTCTCATAAAAATGAAATGAAATATCCTTCCTGACAGTAGTTTACCTAGGAAAGTTAAAGAAAGATTGATTCCAATGTCTGCAGTTACTTTGGTGTAGTAGAAGTCATTAATGGCACAGATTAAAGCAGCATGTTTTCTCTTCCAGGTTGTATTTCTCGGTATTCGGCAGGTAGTGTCTATTACTATCCCTCTTACCATCATCAACACAACCCAGTCCAAGTACAGAAATTCCAGAAAGAACTACAGAGATACCTTACTCGGAAGATTGGCTTTGAAGCAGTCATGAGGATTCGGTGCACCAAAGGTAGGAAAACGTATTTTTTTACATAGGAGTGAATAATATTTTTGGTACCAGTAAATATATGTGTTTTTATCTAGTCTTATAAGATTTGCCCTTCTGAGATACTTCACTGACTCTGGAATGTGCAATTAAGAGGAAAGAAGAAGCACTGTAACCAAAAAAGCGGGGGTGCCTATTGAGAATATACTCAAAAGCACTGACTTGTATATTTTTAAATGGAGAATTTTATGGTACATGAATTATTTCAGTTTTTTAAAAAGTCCTTATTTCTAGCTGGGCATAGTCACTCATGCCTGTAATTCCAGAACTTTGATGGATCGCTTGAGCCCAGGAATTAGAGACCAGCCTGGACAACATTGCAAAGCAATCAAAAAATACAAAAATTTAGCTTAGCATGGTGGTGCACATATGTATTCCCAGTTTCTTAGGAGGCTGAAGTGGGAGGATTGCCTGGGCCTGGGAAGCAGAGGTTGCAGTGAGCAGAGATCACATCACTGCACTCCAGCCTGGGCAACAATGAGACCCTGTCTTTAAAAAAAAAAAATAGACTCAGTGGCTCACGTCTGTAATCCCAGCCCTTTGGGAGGCCAAGGGGGACAAATCATGAGGTCAGGAGTTTGAGACCAGCCTGGCCAACATGGTGAAACCCCGTCTCTACTAAAAATACAAAAATTAGTTGGGTGTGGTGGCACGCGCCTGTAATCCCAGCTACTCAGTGGGCTGAGGCAGGAGAATCGCTTAAACCTGGGAGGTGGAGGTTGCAGTGAGCCGAGATCGCACTGCTGCACTCCAGCCTGGGTGACGGAGTGAAACTCCATCTCAAAATAAAAAGATAGAGTCGATTTTGTATATTTAGTAGAGTAGTGTATTTGTATTATTAGTAGAGGCGGGGTTTCACCATGTTGGCCAGGCTGGTCTTGAACTCCTGACCTCAAATGGTCTGCCTAAGCCTCCCAAAGTGCTTGGCTGAGGTTTTTTTTTTTTTTTTTTTTTTTTTTGAAAGTCTCATTTTATCGCCCAGGCTAGAGTGCAGTGGTGCGATGACAGTTCACTGCAGTCTCGACCTCCATGACTCAAGTGATCCTCCCACCTCAGCTTCCTTCCCTAGTAGCTGGGGATACAGGCGTGAGCCACCATGCCTGGCTAATTTTTAATTTTCTTTGTAGAGACTGGGTCCATTGCTGCTGCACAAATTGAGTTTTTATTTAAATAAATATAATTGCTCTGTGAGGGGGTGTAGAGCAGTAATTTTCTTTCTTCTTCTCTTTTTTTCTGGAGACAGAGTGTTGCTCTTATCCCCTGGCTGGAGTGCAGTGGCATGATCAGCCTCAATTCCTGGGCTCAAGTGATCCTCTCACCTCAGCCTCCCAAGTAACCTGGACCACAGGTGCATGCCACCATGCCCAGCTAAGTTTTAATTTTTTGTAGGCGCAGGGGTTTTACACTGTTTCCCAGGCTAGTTTCAAACTCCTGGACTTAAGCGATCCTACCATTTCAGCTTCCCAAAGTGCTGGGATTACAAGTGTGAATTACCATGCCCAGTGTAATAATATTCTTTGCAATGGCAAAATTATTTATTTGAAGTCTATAGCAAATAAAAAAGATAAAGATCCAATAACCTTCCCTTTCACATTGAAATCTATTGGTCTACCAGACGTGGTGGTTCATGCCTGTAATCCCAGCACTTTGGGAGGTTGAGGCAGGCGGAACCTGAGGTTGGGAGTTTGAGACCAGCCTGACCAACATGGAGAAACCCTGTCTCTACTAAAAATACAAAAAATAAGCCAAGTGTGGTGGCACATGCCTGTAATCCTAGCTACTCAGGAGGCTGAGGCAGGAGAATCTGTTGAACCTGGGAAGTGGAGGTTGCAGTGAGCTAAGATTGCACCACTGCACTCCAGCCTGGGCAACTAAAGAAACTCTGTCTAAAAAAAAAAGAAATCTATTGGTCAATCCATGAGCCAGATGAAGCTCTCTCTTATCTGTTCGTCACTGTAATGATGTACCCTTGGTGAATTTATCTCTTATCTGTTCTTCACTGTAATGATGTATCCTTGGTGAATTTATTAATTCTAACAGTTTTTATTTTATAATTTTTAATTAAAATATGGAATGCTTCATGAATTTAGGTGTTATCCTTATGCAGGGGCCAGGCTAATCTCTCTGTATCATTCCAATTTTAGTATATGAGCTGTCAAAGTGAGCACCTAACGGTGTTTTAGTGTTTGTTTTAAAAGGTACAGTTGTTGGATCCCATTCGTTGAAGACTGATGGACCTCAAAACTATTTTTATTTCTGCAGACATCTGCTATAAATTAAGGGAAGTGTACATCCTAATGTGCTTTTTTTTTTTTTTTTTTTTTTTTTTAAAGACGGGGTTTTACCATGCTGGTCAGGCTGGTCTTGAACTCCTAACCTTAGGTGATCCGCCCACCTTAGCCTCCACAGTGCTTGGATTACAGGTGTGAGCCACCACGCCTGGCCCCTAATATGCTTTTTAAGACCTTTTTTAATTGTCATGACGGAGGCTATTTTTATATGTACCTTATTTTGCATAAAGAGCTTTGGGATATACCAAGCAACTCCTTTGCCCTCTTTTTTTTTGGAGATGGAGTTTTGCTATGTCACCCAGGCTGGCTCAGCTTACTACAACCTCCACCTCCTGTGGTCGTGATTCTCCTGCCTCAGCCTCCCCAGTAGCTGGGATTACAGGTGCGCGCCACCATGCCTAGCTAATTTTTGTGTTTTTAATAGAGACATGGTTTCACCATATCGATCAGGCTGGTCTTCAACTCCTGACCTCCAGATCCACCCACCTCAGCCTCCCAAAGTGCTGGGATTACAGGCATGAACCACCATGCTTGGCTGCCCTCTTTCTAGAGTGCTTAATTTAATAAAGCTTTGTGGTTAGCCTGCTTAGGTTTCTCTCTGTATTTTTTATGATAAATTCACTACAGATCAAATACATACTCTTAGAAAAGTTAACACAGAAAAGATAATGTACAGAAAGATATAAAATGACCTATCAAGCACAACCTGATATGTTCCACTCTACAGTTAATTATATGCCCTTCAGAAGCTTTCCTATGTCATTTATAAACATATATTTTGGCTTTTACTTCAAATAAAAGCAGTGGGGAATTACACGTGGCTTTTTTATTTTTATCACAATATCTTGACATTTCTATTTTTGTATGTACAAACCCACATTCTCTTTTTCCTTTGTGCCTTTTTTAATGTTATATATTTCTTTTTGAGAGACAGGCTTGCTTTCAACTCTTGGGCTTAAACAACCTATGCCCAGCATTCTTTTTCATTCTGATTACTGTTTTTAAGTTGGTTTTTATTTCACAAGCAAAATGTGCATCTATTTTTCTTGTAAAAAAAATAAAAACATTAGGCCGGGCGCAGTGGCCCACCCTATAATCCCAGCACTTTGGGAGGCTGAGGCAGGCTGATCATGAGGTCAGGAGATCAAGACCATCCTGGCCAACATGGTGAAACCCCGCCTCTACTAAAAATACCAAAAACAAACAAACAAACAAAAAAACTGGCCAGGCATGGTCGCCTGTGACTGTAATCCCAGCTACTCAGGAGACTGAGGCAGGAGATTTGCTTGAACCCAAGAGGTGGAGGTTGCAGTGAGCCAAGATGGCACCACTGCACTCCAGCCTGGGCGACAGAGCAAGACTCTGCCTCAAAAAAATATAAAATTAAAATAAAATAAAATAAAAACATTTTTGGTAAAGCTAAAATCTTCCTGTATCAGCTTGAGTGTGTATATGACACATATACTTTCACTTCACTTTTACATAGTTAAAAATGATATATATTCAAATTTACTCTTCAAAATGGTATATATCACTTGGTATATATCAGAATTTCCAGCACATTTACATACTTAGGTACATCTCCATGGAAAACATATCATATGATCTATTTACATAAGTGAATACTGTATATATTTTTATTCAATAAACCTTCAAGATTCATTAATTTTAGATCATATAAATCCATCACATTCATTTAAACTTCTACCTATTCTACTTGGTATTCAGCAGATTGGACAAATGACAGTTTAGTTTCTTTTTTTTTGAAACCAAGTCTTGCTTGATCGTCCAGCCTGGAGCGAAGTGGAATGATCTCAGCTTACTACAACCTCCACCTCCTGGGTTTCAGCGATTTTCCTACCTAAGCCTCCCAAGTAGCTGGGATTACAGGTGCCCACCACCATGCCCGGCTAATTTTCGTATTTTAGTAGAGACAGGATTTCACCAAGTTGGCCAGGCTAGTCTTGAACTCCTGACCTCAAGTGATCTGCCTGCGTCAGCCTCCCAAAGTGCTGGCATTACAGGCATGATTGAGCCACCATGCCTGGCATACTTTTTCTACTGTTATCCATTGAAGGCATTTCTGAATTTTTTTTTGCTGTGACACACCAGTCTACTTCAAATTTTTTTTCATGTCTAAATTTGGCACTTAAATGAGTGTATCTGTAGGATACATTCTTTGATATGTGATTGCTAAAGTCAAAATAAGTATCTAGAATTTTGATAGATAATGAAATTATGCTCCCACTTTTTTTTTTTTTTTTTTTTTTGAGACAGAGTCTTGCTTTGTCACCCAGGCTGGAGTGCAGTGGTGGGATCTTAGCTGACTGCAACCTCCGCCTCCAGGTTCAAGCGATTCTCCTGCCTCAGCCTCCTGAGTAGTTGGGTTTACAAGCACCCACCACCACACTGGGCTAATTTTTGTATTTTTAGTAGAGACAGGGTTTCACCATGTTTTTGGCCAGGCTGGTCTCGAACTCCTGACCTCAGTGACCCATCTACCTTGGCCTCTTAAGTGCTGCAATTACAGGCATGAGCCATGGCACCTGGCCCAAAAATGGTTTTTGAACATTAGTATCCCCACCTTCATTTCAAAAGTCATCTGTTATTCCTTAACCTCAGTAAGTACTGTATATTATCTAAATTTCTTTACTTTTTGCCAATCTGTTAAATAACTAGGATAAAATGTAAATATCAATACGTAGGTATATGAAAACCATTTTGTTAACTTTTTTTCTTCTAGGTCTTTCCATTCATACTTTCCATGGGAACTTCTTTGTTAGGTCGACTGACTTATTGTCTTTGCCTAACGTCAACCCAGATGCTGGGTATGCCGTGCAGATGTCAGTGGAAGAGAGTCTTACTGACACTCAGTTGGTTTCTTTTCAATCAGCGCTCTTGTATACATCCAGCAAGGGTAAGTTGTTTGTTTGTTTGGATTTTAAATGTTCATGTGTTGTCTGGACTTCAAATGTCAAAACAGGCTATAAAACACATGTAGCATGTCTTACGTATGTTAACTTAAAATTTTTATTACCAGGGCTACTCTGGGCACACTGCCTATGGGGTAGCCCCGTAAAATAAAAAAATAATAAAATAGGCCAGGCGCGGTGGCTCAAGCCTGTAATCCCAGCACTTTGGGAGGCCGAGGCGGGTGGATCACGAGGTCAAGAGATTGAGACCATCCTGGTCAACATGGTGAAACCCCGTCTCTACTAAAAATACAAAAAAAAAATTAGCTGGGCATGGTGGCACGTGTCTGTAATCCCAGCTACTCAGGAGGCTGAGGCAGGAGAATTGCCTGAACCCAGGAGGTGGAGGTTGCGGTGAGCCAAGATCGTGCCATTGCACTCCAGCCTGGGTAACAAGAGCGAAACTCCGTCCCCAAAAAATAAATAAATAAATAAATAAAAAGTAAAAAATAATAATAATAAAATAATAAAAAATAAAATTTATTACCAAAAGCAGTAAACCAACTAAAATTCAAAAAAGATATTTTTTAAAATTCAGTGTATTGTCATTTGAATGTGATCCCTATTTATTTAGTAATAACCTGAATGAAAAGAATTTTATAATTAAAAAAAAAGAAGAAGAAGAAGTAGGGCCAGGTGTGGTATCCTATAATCCTAGCATATAGGGAGGCTGACTGGGGGAGATCGCTTGAAGCCAGGGATTCAAGACCAGCCTGAACAACCTAGTGAGACACTGTCTCTTAAAAAAAATTTTTTTTGATTAACCAAGTATAGTGGCACAGACTGGTAGTTCTAGCTACTTGGAGGCTGAGTAGGGAGGATTGCTTGATCCCAGGAGTTTGAGGTTACAGTGAGTTGTGATTTTGTCACTGCACTCCTGCCTGGGCAACAGAATGAGACCTTGTTTCTAAAAAAAAAAAAAAGATAAATATTTATGAACTTACTTGTTTTTAATAGAGATAGGATCTTACTATGTTGCCCAGCCCTGTCTTGAACTCCTGACCTCAGGTGATCCTCCCACCTTGGCCTCCCAAAGTGCTGGGTGCTGGGATTGCAGGTGAGAGCTACTGTACCTGGCCAATATAAAACTTTTGATATTATCTTTGTTTAGTATATAACTACATTACCTGGTTGTACATTGAAAAGAAGTAATTTTTTTTCATATATATACAAAGACTTTTTTTTTTTTTTTTTTTTTTTAAGAGATGGAGTCTCACTGTGTTGCCCAGGCTGCACTTGAACTCCTGAGCTCCTGACTCTGCCTCTGGAGTAGTTGGGACTACAGGAGTGCACCACTGCACTCAGCTAAGAAGTGATTTTTCCAAGTGGCTTTGACATAATCTTTTGTTATATATAGTTGCCTCTCACTGTTGTTTTTGCTTTTTCCCCAAAGGTGAAAGAAGAATTCGTGTTCATACTTTGTGTTTGCCAGTAGTTTCTACTCTAAATGATGTGTTTCTTGGAGCTGATATTCAAGCAATTTCAGGGTTATTGGCCAATATGGGTAAGAATTGTTATCTGTTATAAATATTTTATAAGTAATAACATTAAGCAAAGTCCAAACAGTCTTGTTTTCCTTTAAATAGTTAGCTTTATAGTTTGAATGTTTTAGATCTCCTGGGTGGGTGCCTGCTAAGTAACTATTTGAATGAAAAGGTCTGCTGCAGGTAATCTTATGTTTTTTGTTTGTTTATTTAAACAAATTTATTGAGATATAATTACATACCATACCACTTCACCCATTTTAATTGATACTAATTTGTTTTTAGTGTTTTTACAGAGTTGTACAGCTATCACCACAATCTAATTTTATAACATTTCTATCGCCCCAAGAGGAACCTCATGCTTATTAGCAGTTACTGCCCACTCCTTCCTCCCTCCCTTACTGGCCTTCAGTAACCACTAAATTACTTTGTCTCTATATATTTGTCTACACTGAACTTAACTATGTCTTATGTAATGCTGAATATTAGTGCTATTTAATAGTCTTTTTTATGAGCTCTGTAACTTAGATTATGAGAGAAGCAGTATGCCATAAAGATCATTAGACTTGGAGTCATGGAATTGGGGATTGAAAACCAGTTTACCACCGCAGATTTGTTAGCAGCCAAATCATGTGAGCCAATAGAAAACTTACTGATATCTTTACCTATTTATTTCCATCTCAGATACAGTTGCCTTCTTGTTTTTTTTTGGTCCCTTTTCCCTTTTCAAATACATACAGCTTAATAGCATCAATTTGATTCTTGCAATCTTTCTACTGGAGGGAAGAGTTTCAGTGGGTCCATTTTCTTTCTTTTGTTTTTGAAAACAGAGTCTTGCTCTGTCACCCAGGGTAGAGTGCAATGGTGTGGTCCTAGCTCACTGTAGCCTTAACCTCCTGTGCTCAAGGGATCCTCCCACTTCAGCCTCATGAATAGCTGGGACTACTGGCCCACACCACCACACCCAGCTAACTTTAAAAAAACTTTTTATAGAGACAGAGTCTCACCATGTTGCCCAGGCTGATCTTGAATCCTAGGCTCAAGCAGTACTCCTGCTCTGCTTTAGCGTACCAAACCGTTGGGATTACCGGCGTGAGCCACCATACCCAGCTTCAGTAGGTCCATTTGCTTCAAACTTAAATCTGTCTGTATCAGGAATAGTTACCCACTTGCTTGAATTTGGGAAAAATGTTTTACATGGAGCCTAGTAAAGGATTCACCCACACTTTAGTCTTTTATGTTGTTAGATGTTTAAGATTGTGACCTATGAAATTTGAAGATCGCTGCCTTTATTTTTTTGTTTAAGTTACATTTTTTGGTAACTGTGTTTTTTTTTTATTGGCAGCAATAACTATTAGGTGGGTTTTGTAGATTTGTGATAAATTGTCACAACTTTGTAAGTATTCTTTCTGCTACCATATTGAATGTATTTTTAGTACCACATGGATGGTGTTTAAAGTTTGAGAAATCTTCAAAACAATTATGCTTTTTTTTAAATATTGAAAAAAAAATTCTGCAGAAATGCATATAAACAGAGTGCTATGACAAATGATGAAAATCTGTCTAAATAAAAGACCGGGTATGGTGGCTCATGCCTGTAATCTCAGGACTTTGGGAGGCCAAGGTGGTTGGATCCTTTGAAGCTAGGAGTTCAAGACTAGCCTGGCCAATATGGAAAAACCCTATCTCTACTAAAAATACACACACACACACACAATTAGTCAGATGTGACACATGTCTGTAGTCCCAGCTACTTGGAAGGCCGAGGCAGAATTGCTTGAACCCCAGAGGCAGAAGATGCAGCCAAGATCACGCCACTGCACCCCAGCCTGGGCAACAGAGTGAAACTCCGTCTCTAAATAAATAAGGAAATAAGTAAATATCTCTAAGAGCTCTTTCTGTAAATATAAAATAAAAACTCTGGGCTGGACATGGTGGTTTATGCCTATAATCCCAGCACTTTGGGAGGCTGAGGCAGGAAGATTGCTTGAGGCCATGAGTTTGAGATCAGCCTGGGCAACATAGAGAGACTGTAAAAAAAAAAAAATTTTTTTTTTTTTTTTTTTTTTTTGAGACGTAGTTTCACTCTTTTTGCCCAGGCTGGAGTGCAATGGCACGTTCTCAGCTCACCACAATCTCCGCCTCCTGGGTTCAAGCAATTCTCCTGCCTCAGCCTCCCAAGTAGCTGGGATTACAGGCATGCGTCACCACGCCCAGCTAATTTTTTTGTATTTTTAGTAGAGATGGGGTTTCACCATGTTGGCCAGGATGGTCTCGATCTCTTGACCTCATGATCAGCCTGCCTTGGCCTTGCAAAGTGCTGGGATTACAGGTGTGAGCCACCGCACCTGGCCAAAAAAATTTTTTTAATTAATTAAAATAAAGATGTCTAACTCTGTTTTGAGACACCGTGTATTTCAGGAAACAGGAAAGCATTATATGTTTAATTGCAATGCATTTCTTTCTCAATGGTATATAAAATGTTGGGTTACAATCAATAGCATAACTGAGGCTCAGAAAGGTTAAGTTACTTGCCAAATCATTATACAGCTAGGAAATAGCAGAGCAGCATTTCAAAAGAGGTTGGCTTAATTCTCCAGAGCATGCTTTTAGCTGCTGTGTTTCCTCTTGTTTGTGTATGTAGTAAATTGGAGAAAGACAGTATAGTTTTAAAAAATTATCTCTTCTACCCTTAACAGTGGAGTAGCTAAACTTCTGTCATATTTCTCTTTTGTCCTTACCTTCACCTCACTTAGCTGTTGACAGATCCATGACTGCCAGTCTGAGTGACGCTCGGGATGCTCTAGTGAATGCAGTCATTGACTCCCTTTCTGCCTACCGTTCTTCAGTCTTAAGTAACCAGCAGCCTGGATTGATGGTTCCTTTTTCATTGCGGCTTTTCCCACTTTTTGTGTTGGCTCTCCTTAAACAGGTAAGAAAAACAGATACAGAAACTAACACAATGGTGGCCAGAAACTGTGGCCTACACCTGCAATCCGGGCACTTTGGGTGGCTGACATGGGTGGCTTGCTTGAGTCCATGTATTTGAGACCAGACTGGCCAACATGGTGAAACCCCGTCTCTCCAAAAAATATAAAAAAAACTAGCCAGGTATGGTGGTGCACGCCTGTAGTTCCAGTTACTCAGGAGGCTGAAGTGGGAGGATTGTTGAGTCCAGGAGACAGGGATTATAGTGAGCACATGTCACACTGCTGTACTTCAGCTTGGGTGACAGAGCCAGACTCTGTCTCAGAACAAAACAAAACAAAAGAAACGAACACAGTGGAAATATCAAAAGGCAAAATTTTTATCCTATGAATCCCTAAACATTGTATACATAACTTTATGCTGGTTAAATTTCTGAGGACAGGGGCCTTGCCTCTTATTCGAACTTTGGAAAGTTTTATAACCAAAGAAACTTACAAATAACTGATTCAGAGCAAATTCCTTGTTTATAAGATGCTTCTCTGGCTGGGTGCAGTGGCTCATGCCTGTAATGTCAGCACTTTGGGAGATTGAGGCGGGCAAATCATGAGGTGAGGAGTTCAAGAGCAGCCTGACCAATATGATGAAACCCCTTCTCTACTAAAAATACAAAAATTAGCCAGGCATGGTGGCACCTACCTGTAGTCCTAGCTACTACTCTGTAGGCTGAAACAGCAGAATCAGTTGAGCCCGGGAAATGGAGATTGTAGTGAGCCAAGATCAAGCCACTGCGCTCTAGCCCAGGCAACAGAAAGAGACTCCATCTCAAAAAAAAAAAAAAAAAAAAAAAGAGAGAGAGAGAGAGATGCTTCTTTAAGCAAAGTATTCAGTGACATTATAAAAAATTCAACTGATAATCAGTTTTCCAAAATAAGAATTATTATATTGCTGGTGCAAGAAGGCACACGTGCATTGCATGTTCTCACTTATATGTGAAAGCTAAAAAATCAAACACACAGAAGCAGAAATCAGAATGGGGGTTACTAGAGGCTGAGTGGTACAGAAGGAATACAGCGATATTGAACAAAAGGTACAGTGTTTTAGTTAGGCAGGAGGAATAAATGATGTAACTATTGGAGATCATGGATATGTTACTTAGCTTCATTAAATCATTCCACGTTGTATCCTATATCATAGCATCCCTTTATACCTAATAAATATATACAATTAAAATTTTTCACTAACAAACTTTAAAAAAAAAAAGAGCATACATGTGATTTTTTTTTTTTAATTTTTTTTTTTTTTTTTTTTGGCTGTTTCCTGTTCCCTACAGAATTTCAGCAACATTATACTTCTTTTTTTTTGAGATAGTCTCACTCTGTCACCCAGGCTGGAGTATAGTGGCATGATCTTGGCTCACTGCAACCTCCGCCTCCAGGGTTCAAGTGATTCTCCTGCTTCAGCCTCCTGAGTAGTTGGGATTACAAGTGTGTGCCACCACGTCCAGCTAATTTTGTGTTTTTAGTAGAGATGGGGTTTCACCATGTTGGTCAGGCTGGTCTCAAACTCCTGACCTCAGGTGATTTGGCCCCCTTGGCCTTCCAAAGCACTAGGATTACAGGCCTGAGCCATCACACCCAGCCAACATTACACTTCTTTTTTTTTTTTTTTTTTTTTTTTTTTTTTTTT